CCTGCGAGGACGAGGGATCAGCAGTTTGTTGCTGGTTTCCACCAGCACCAGAGATATTTGTATTGCGCCTCCGGCAGAAGAAGAATCTCGGCGGGGTGATCGCGTTCAGAAACGCATCCTTTCCGCTCACAGCATTACCTCCCTGCTGGTTTCCGGCAGCCCCCCCGGATCCATTCCAGGCCCGCACAAAAGTGAGCAGAGGGTTGTTCGGAAACACGAGCGGGCGGCGCTTGTTGTGATTGTTATTTTCAGCATTCTGGAAAATGACAACAGGCGAACTCCTGCTGGTGCTGCGTCCAGTTGCTTTATCTTGCTGTTGCAGAAAGGAGGTGCGGGTTCTACTAGAACGTCCCATGTTGTTCTTCATCATGTCCGCATGAAGATGATCATTGGACTGGCCTTCAAGATGAACTACGCGTGCCTGGCCCGGATGTTCTTCCACCTCAACCTCTTCTCCCGTCGCGTCATCGAAGCACCGCTGCTCGTCACACAGCGCGGCCACGGCGGCATCGATGGTGACAAAACTGCGGCCGGAGGAAACCAGGATTGGCTGCTTGTCGCTACGCGACTGCTCCTCCCGTTGAATCTCGGCGAAAATCGGGTCTTGCTGGACAAGCTCATTCAGCTGCTGTAGTTCCGCGTGGTTCTGCAGCGGAGGCCCCTGCGTACCGCCGTTGATAGTTGGCCCCGGAGGCTGTTATGCAATGCAAAAGCATCTTCGCTCTCGTACAGTAATTGCATTGTACTGCATGTTGATCATGAGGACTACTTAAAGCTACTACAACAACTTGGTTTCGTTTACTCCTAGACCTACGCTCTGAGTCAGCATTTTACAAGAAGCACCCTTTTTTCGTTTCTGAAAAGAATTATTGCCAATCTTGCCATGCAATTCCTACAAGTAGTGCGATGCTTTAGCAGTGCGTAGAGGTGGTGCTTGAGACGCTTGCTCGAAAACCCCACACCCGTAGCAAACACCGACCGCGATTCCGGCCAGGAGCACGACGCTTCCCAGAGAAATCGCCGCGATCAGAAGCCAGTTCGGGCGGGAAGCGGTTTTGCCGCTTTGCAGCTGTTGAGTGGCACGACCACGCGCATCTTGGTCTGTCTTCTTGTTGTTCAGGTTTTTCTTCTTGCCGTGGTAGTTTCCGTTTCCCACATCACCATCCTCATCTTCTCCAAACGGGAACGGCAACGGCTGTGGGTTGTGGTCATGTGACAAATTACCCTCGGTGTCGGAGGCGAAGCTCGGAGGCTGCTCCACGTCCACCGCGCGTTCCTCGCCGGCAGCCAGGATCATGTAAGACCCATGTCCAGACGAGTTGGTCATCATGGTGGTATCATGTCCACCAAAAGCGTGATGCTGAACATCGTCGTTCTTCCCGAGCATAAAATCGTCCTCGTGCTGCTCGAAAGCACCATTGTGCTTCCGAAAAGTAGTAGCGCCGCCGCCGGGGCGGGGGGCCATCGTGATCTTACTTTGATGTCCCGGCTGCATTTTGGTAGTTGTAGGAAAGTGGAAGCTCACCGTTTGCCGTTTGACGTTGTCCTGTCTCGGTCCGATTCCTTCTCCCCGTGAGATGTGTAATGCGCGATAGAAATATTGCGGTCTTTTTTAGTGGTTAGAGCTTTTAAAGGAAATAATGTGAAGATTTTCGAGATATTTGTCCAAAACGATTTTAGAAATTGTCCAAAAAGTAAGAAAGGTGTTGTAAAATTCTTTTATTACTCAAAGAAAAAGGTTTTGTTTTCTCGTTCCTGTTTCCCCACGGTAGAAATTCCAAGGAAAATCGACCCGCGAGATCTATTATTATTATTATCGAAGCCACAGGCAATAGCGAGATCTACTAGACTCGAACGTGCGAAGATAAGTACTGTCACCAGCGGAGCAAAGCCGGTAATATTTTTGACTTGATTTTTAATATTCTTACAAGAAATAATTATCCATGTAGAGATTCTTTATACGTAGATTTTGTTGCGAAAAAACTTCTTAGAGAAGGTAAACGTTGTTTTTGTTGTACTACGTACGTCTTGTTTTTGAGATAAACACTTGGCACAACTGCTTGTACCAATTCTGTAGAAGCGAAACTGGTGCTGGCAAGGATTTTGTTGTGGATGCATAATTCAATTTGATGAAATGGTTTGCTTCATTGTTTTCTATGGTCGTCGACCTAGTGCAGCAGCTCATATTGATATTTCGTGTAGCTTCTAATAAGAATTGAGGAGAGTAGAACCTTGTTGCTGCGAGGAGGATAGGCGGAGCAGTGGAAGCCGCTCGAAGCCCCCTGAGGATTTTCATCACCGAAGAAGATCGGGTGGCACTTCTTCTAATTTCCAAATTTATCATCCAACTCTTGAAGAGATCCTTCACGACTTTTCACCGGATCCACGCATGGTCGAGATGCATCGGATCATCATCTTCCAGATCTTATGCTGATCTCCGTATTAAGTAGTACGAGGGGCCCGGCGGCACAGTGTAGTACATGTTGACCTCCAGAGAACCGGCTGGCGGCGGTCCAAACAACCAAGTACGAGGACGCCGGCTCTTCTTCTATCTTAGTTCTGATCTGTTCTTTCTGATCGCGAGCGAGCTGACAAAGTCGGATGATCCTCGAGCTCGACACGTCAAGCTTCGTCAGGTAAGTAGACATCGGATCGCGAAAGATCGTCCCGGCTGTGTCGTGAAGCTTCACAATGAGGATAAAAATTGAAACTGTACTCAAATTATACGTTGTAATAGTAATGCGCTCTAGTTCGTCTCCATGATCTGTGGTGCATTGGCATAGAAGCTGCATGCAGGTGAGTAATAGGAGGATCTCGATGTTGCTCTACTTACTCCTTTTCGAAGCCGTGAACGTCGCTGGGTGTTTCGTTGCAACTGAGACAGTGTCTGTTTTCGGCGTTCGCTGAATCTGATGATCGTTAAGTTTCTCTTATCACCTTCGTCTTTTTCATTTTCTTTTGGAGCAGCCCTCTTGAGAGAAAAAAGAAATCTACTTACACTTCGAGAGAAACAATTCTGTACTGTCAAAATGCACGACTGGCGACTCGTCTTGTACAACAGGATGCATCTTTTGTTCGGAATGACCTGCCTTGGTGTCGCTAGCAGCAATGGCGAGTGCGATTCTACATCTCCTGGTCACTCTCAGTGAGGGTTGCGGTACTTACTATTTCTAAATTCGAACAGTGGCCCACAACCAATTTCAAGTAGTTGCGAAAATAGGTACTTAGCACTGTAGCGTACATGCAGCACCTCCTGTAATCGAACAAGAAATTTCTAACTATCACTGCTCGCGCTTTTGCTTTTCGTTTTCGAGGTCGAACTAAAGTAGGGCTTGGACGTTGTTCTTCTATCTTGATACAACAAATATAAAATAATAACATTATTCACGGTAGGGCTGAAAAAGAAAAACGCGAAAGTTGTACAGCTTATGTTTAGTTAGGAGAAGGTGATGTCTCGCCAAGGCCTAAATATCTGGCGGAAGTAGAGGTGAAGAGATAAAAAATACACGACACAATCACAAGAATCTGCTCCATTGATGTACTAGGCTCATCACTTCACGACGGTCCTTCGCCTTTATCTTCCTTTCTTACAAAAAGTTCCACAAGCTTCACTAGTTCTTGTGCTTTAATACGAGTTATGTTTACAACAGAAGTAGATGTCCGCATACTAGTTGGACCAAATAAAACAAAGTTCGATCGAGACCGATAAAAGTTCTGCCGGCGATCTCTTCATGTTAGCACCCATAATTCTGCACCAACGATGGATAGTTGTGCCAACATTCTAGAACTGATGATATTGGTACTACTAACACAAACACGGTGCATCAAGAAATAACTAACACTCGATATTTGCGTCCATTATCCACTGTGTCAAAACTATAGGAAAAACCAGATCAAAACTAAACCCATTGAACCTCCTCAAGGGTCAGCGCGCGTCCTCCTGTCCAGCCGCCCAAGAACTTCTTTGGACGTGGTCGTTGAAAAGCTTCAAGAGCAGTTGTGCCGACTTGTAGTTATCATCATATTTTTAGTTGTCGTCCTTTGCCATTCTTGGGGTTTTTGCGCATAGAAAAAACTTTGTGCGACTGCTAGTTCCGCAGGGGTAAAAATATCAACCTTAGATCCCCGCAAGCGCGGTATCCTGACTGGCGTTATTTCCATCTGCGTCACTAGCAGGAGCATCTGTCCTCCCACCTCCTTGAGGTCGTGGGGCTGCATCGTCCCCGGGAGCAGCGGAAGGCAAGACGTCCCGCGACTGCTCCTGGTCCACATCCGCCACAACAGCGCCAGTTCCAGCCGGATCGCTCTGCTGGTCGGCGCTCACTTCTGCGGTCGGAAAAACAGTGGTCGTGCGCTGTTCCTCAGCCACTTCCGCTTGAGCCGCAGAGGAAGAGGGCTCTGGTGTTACGGGTGCTGCCCGCTCCTGCGTTAAGTATTGTGCGAAGGCGCGTGCGGCGCGTGCTGGCTGTGCGACCCAGCTGAGCGGACCAGATTTGGCAGCCGCCTTTGAGCGCAGACCGAGGAATTGTTGTTCATCTCCTCTATCTGGAGAGATTCGCCCCCGCGGTGCGTCAGCCTCAGACGTAGTAGGTGCTTCAACTACATTTTCTTCCTCGAGAGCATCCTCACGAACTTCCTGCGCTGGAGCGGGCGGTGCTGCCGGAGCAATCTGCTCTCCGGACTGGTCATCAGCACGCGGAGCACGGGCAGCTCCAGGTCCAGCATCAGCTGCCGGACTTGTGATATTACCTTCTTCTTGCGATGAGCAGGTTCTTGGGTCCGATGATGCAGCACCATTCTGGCCGCTGTCGTCCGGGGTCGGAACTGCAGCACGAGCACTCTGCTCGCCCACAGCAGCCGCTTCCTGTGCCGCATTTTCTTGGCCAGCCGCACTCGAGGCTTGCGGCAAAGGGGGTCGCGGGTCCCGGGCCAGCTGGTCGTGGTCCTCCTGCGGTGCAGGATGAAAGTGTTCTATTTCATCCGCGGCCTCTTCTTCCTGCGCCGTGGCCGGTACAAGAAAAGAAGATGCTGGTGCCGCTCCTGCTTCTTCTATCGGTGTAGCTGCGGCATAGGAGGCCGCATCACCATCAAGAGGGCCTTGTCCTCCGTCGTGCACCGTTGCGCGGCTTTCGTGTTCTTCGTCGCGCTGCACCAGCGTGGTGGAGGCGGGACGACCAGAGCCAGAGGACAAAGGGTCCCCGAATGATCCTAGTACCGCATGATCAACTTCTTCAACTACAACGGGAGTCGCAATCAGTGCGTCAACTCCCTGTTCGTCTACAGCAGCGCGCTGAAGATGCTCCTGCGCAACATATTCTTCTTCACCAGCCTGCTCGGAAAGGGCTGGAACAACGCCTACGGCAGCGGACGCGTCGGCCGCTGCATCATGAGCTTCCTCGAGTTCTTCGTGAGGCTGAGGAGCAGGAGGAAGTCCTCCACCATCGCCATCCTCGGCAGCTGCAGTGGCTGTCTCGGGCAGCTCCGGAGGTTGAACACCAACATCCTCTGGCGCCACTACCGAGTCACCACTTTCAACCCGCAAAGACAAGCTTGTTTCCGGGGTCGCGTCACGGTGCTCCAGAATTGGACCAGCTCCACTCCGCGGCCCGATTCCTCCTTGCGGGTAGGTCGCCCCGGGAGCCCGTTGCGTCGTCTCCGGCACGTCGTCCCGTCTCCGGTTTTCTGGGCGGTTATGTTCCTTCGTTTCGGACACGATCAGGCCCCAGTAGTCGTAGTAATCCGCAGCAGGCTTGGGCCGCACGATCGCTTCGTATCCTGTGCAAAAATTCATCGCATAAAGTCGCACTCGGACGAGCAGCTGCCGACGTATGTTCTTCAATATTGTTTCACAGCGTAGTTGTGCAGCACGGAGTAGATGCAGTTATTTCATAGCAACTCGTTTTTCTTTCAGCCCGTAGCCACAGCATGACACGTTCACCTTTGATTCTGTTGTGCAAAACTTTTTGATTTGCGAAAATTCAAAATTTGTGTATACATAAGTACATCGTGCAACCCGCCTTAGTGCGATCTTCACACGACAAGAAGTCTTGCACTGCATACGGCTCTAGCGCTGGTGACGGAAGAGTGGTCATGCTGCATTTCCCTCCACGCCACGTCAAATTTGAGGTTGCGTTGCAGCCGGGAAGCAGAAGCCGGTCGCGCCGCCGCCGGGGCCGGTAGCGTAACTGTTCGACGGTCCAATCGTGGTGTGGAACAAAAAAATATCATCGCAGTCACATTTGGATTTGCAAATTATTTTGCATGACGATAATATGGATAAAATTGATGCTCGAAATAATAATGAACAATGCTCGTACAACTTGTGTTGCACAGACAACATCACGAAAGAACTCACGTGCGTATGCAGTTTGACCGTGATCATTCATTCTATCGCGACACCAATGAAGCCAGCTTCTTTCGCAATCTAATCTGCAAAAAAAACGGACAAGTGCTTCGTGTGAAGATGTTTTTTTTCTTAATATCAACGGTTGGACCAGATGACGCGTCGGCCAGTGTGTGTTCTCCCACGACTTCGTGGAGGGTCAGATCCACGCCCAAACCGAGCGCAGCCGCCACCCACAGCTCCGTGGGCTCGAGGAAGCCACCGGGCTCCAAGACTCTTCTGTGCTCGTCGTCCTCGGTAGTGCGCGGAATGTTGTTGCCTGATAGGGATAGATTTCCTACTGCGTCCCGTGGCTGAAAGTGGTCCAGGGAGTCGGCCACAGAGATGTAGCAGAGGTACGCGAGCTGCATGCTCGTCAAAAGTTGCTGGTTTGCTTGCTTCTCTCTATCAGTCCAATCTCTTCGTCTTCGTTCTTCAAGAACTTCGGTGTGAGGCGGTGCAAAAACTTGGCACCACCTCACACCCTGGGCTTTCCCTCTTGTGCGCGTGGCCTCAAAGTTCGGGTCAGCAAAAACGCCCCTCGCTCCTCTCCGGTATCAAGTGCAAAAGTGTCTGGGTCTGGAAGATTGCAACTTGTCATGCTGTTTTTGGACGCTAAAAAAATTGCATTGCATGACCAGCAAGAGGGGTGCAGTTTGTGCCTCACGGACAGGGCATTTCTCATGCCGAAGGTGTATCAGGAAGGGTTCTAAAAACCTGTGATGGTAGGGCATACATCACAGACAATCAGGGGTCATGAGAAATGTGCATGACAAATCTTGCATTCTTCCAGACCCGGACATATTTGCAGTTCATATCCGGCGCCGACCTGCAACTCGGACGTACGGATTGGCGCGCTCAACCACCATGTCGAACATACTCACAGTGTTCCTTCCTAGAATCATTCGGCCATTCAGAGGCATGATGTTTCTGCCGCTCCAAAAGAGATGGCTTGCGGTGTTGTCCCGCTGGCCCGAGAAAGCATCCATGAGAATCTCCGCCAGGTGGTGCGCGAGCATTAATCGAAATTCACCTATGTTTAGTATTCCTGCCAAGAGGCCCACGGGATAGGATAGCGAGCGGTCTCTGTTTCTTAAATGCGGGGCGCACCACTCGGCGTGCGCGCCAGCTTCGGTGCACTGTCGCTTCAAGGCGATCAGGCCCCCATCACCCGATCCGGTCGGGGCTGCGCGTTGTAGTTGGTAGTTTATCACTGGAACGGCCACCTCGCCCTCGACCGCGGAGGAGGCGTCAGACTGTTGGCCGCCCGGAGTGGCGCCCGAGGTCTGCGTGTGCTGCGATTCCTCCGCCCTCGCTGCAGCCCACCGCTGTCGCCGCTGCGCCGGCCAGTTTAGTTCCTTGTTTCCCGGCACACTCAAGCCTCGGTAGTCGAAGAAGTCGTAATTAGACCGAACGTCGGAGGAAGTCGCGCCGGCCGCCTCCAGCCTAGTAAAGTTCTTACAGGCCACCTCAAGGAGAATGTTGGCCTCCAGATCTTCTACTTCCCGGGCCGACTGTGCTGGGAATCGGGCGGAGGAGGAGGAGGAGGAGGACGAAACACGAGGCGCGGTTACTAGTACAGGAGTCGTAAGTGGCACCGGCGGAGGCCCCGGCAAATGATGAAGCTTGAGGCGTGCGCGGTTGGTTTCCGTTGCTGCAACCCAGGGAGCAGTTTGAGGGTCCGCATCCGCGTCGGTGTCCGAATAGAGGTTCAAGTCCACCCCCAGTACCAGCGCGGCGGCGACCCACAGCTCGGCTGGATCCAGATAGCCTCCCGGCGCAACGAAGTCGTACTCCGCCACCTCCGAGGTGCGGGGGAGCTTCTGCCACGACTGCAATTGGGCATGTGCGTGCTCGAGTGGGATGTTGTTCGGGTCCGCCTTTCGGAGTTCGTCGGGCACCGAAATGTAGCAGAGGTACGCAAGCTGTGCCGCTGAGAGCTGGCGGTCGGCTTTGATTTCCCATTCGCTCCAATACCGCTCTTTCATCTGCGCCTCTGTCTTCGGGCCCGTAAATGGTTTGGGGCTACGGTCTTGGCACCAGAACAATTGCCAGTCGGTCCTACCCCTTGCGAGCGTCGCCGCGTATTGCGGATCTCGTCCTCCCATGAGGCCTGCATTCGAGGCCGCGCGTCGGTGAACCGCGACAAACATGCTGATAGGAGGTGCCTCCTCCACGAGGGGGCCAGAAGGCAGACGAGAATCTCCCCCGTTTACACTAGTTACTAAACCCCGCTCCGACCAGAGCACTCGGCTCTTTGCAGCGGCGGGAAATAGACTATCTTCGTCGGTGGACTCCTCCCTAGAGAGCAAAATCTGTGCCAGTTGGTCGGCCAAGTGTCGGCGGAACCACTTTGTGTTCTGGACAATCGCGAGCGCCTGAATTTGCGTCCCCGCCCCGTCGGCGTAGCTCCTTTCTTCCGCAAGCAATCTTTGCACATGACTTTGACACAGATTCATGTGGTCCCCGGTCAGACACTGTTGCTGCAGGGCAATGAGGGCATTGTCCGCAGACCCGGTCGCAGCGCTGCTCTGGAACACAGCCGGCACGGCTGGCTGTTGCTGCTGCTGCTGGCTGCTCTGGCCCGCGCCAGTTGCCGCTGACGACGCTCCTGCACCGGAAGGCCCATTTGCGCCCTGAGACCCGCTGCTCGCCAGACCCGCACCGGACGTCCCCGAACCGCTTGCCATGCCTGTGCCTGAGGATCCTCCGCTCGCCCCGCCTGCACCGCCTGCGCCAGCACCGCTTGCGCCTGAGGATCCTCCGCTCGCCCCGCCTGCACCAGCACCGCTTGCGCCTGAGGATCCTCCGCTCGCCCCGCCTGCACCGCCTGCGCCAGAACCGCTTGCGCCTGAGGATCCTCCGCTCGCCCCGTCTGCACCGCTTGCGCCAGCACCGCTTGCGCCTGAGGATCCTCCGCTCGCCCCGCCTGCGCCAGAGGAGCCAGCACCGCCTGCGCCTGAGGATCCGCCGCTCGCTCCACCTGCGCCAGAGGAGCCAGCACCGCCTGCGCCGGAGGATCCGCCGCTCGACCCGCCTGCGCCAGACGAGCCAGCACCGCCTGCGCCGGAGGATCCGCCGCTCGCGCCGCCTGCGCCAGACGAGCCAGCACCGCCTGCTCCGGCCGCCCCGCCGGCCTGGCCTTGGTTGCTCTGTCCATCTTGGCCTTGCTGATTGTTCTGTCCGCCCTGGCCTTGGCTGTTCTGTCCTTGGTTGCTCTGTCCTTGGTTGCTCTGTCCACCTTGCTGATCTTGGTTCCCGGCATGTCCTTGGTTGCTCTGTCCTTGGTTGCTCTGTCCTTGGTTGCTGTGTCCTTGGTTGCTCTGTCCACCTTGCTGACCACCTTGGTTTCCAGCACCGCCTTGTTGACCGCCAGATTGTGCTCCGCCTACTTGCTGACCTTGGTTAGGACCCGAACCGCCTTGGTGACCGCCTGGAGGCATGCCGGCGGCTCCCGGTAGTTGCTGGCTCGAACCGCCGCCGCCTTGCAGAACCTGGTGCGGCGGGAGTCCCCCTCCAGGCTGCTGCGGCGGCAGTCCACCGTTCGAACCCGGAGGATGCGGGAGCACCGCCACGTCCGGCACCTCCGGTAGGTTGTGCAGCTTTCGCCACCCGTCCATCAGTTTCTTGAGCAACAAGTTTTTGAACAGCTTCATTCCGCCGCCAGGATGATGTTGATTCCCTGGAAGGAGCGCCGCGGCACCGGCTGCTACGTAGTGCTCCGGCGATTCATAAGCGATGCCGTCCCTGCCTACAGCTGGGTATTTACATAGCTGCTGTTGCTCCTGCGAGGACGAGGGATCCACAGTTTGATGCTGGTTTCCACCAGAACCACTATTGCGCCTCCGGCAGAAGAAGAATCTCGGCGGGGTGGTCGCGTTCAGAAACGCATCCTTTCCGCTCACAGCATTACCTCCCTGCTGGTGTTGATTAGCAACACTACTTCCCGCTGCTCCGGATCCATTCCAGGCCCGCACAAAAGCTAACAGTGGGTTGTTCGGAAACACGAGCGGGCGGCGCTTGTTGTGATTGTTATTTTCAGCATTCTGGTGAATGACAACAGGAGAACTTCTGCTGGTGTCGCGTCCAGTTGCTTTATCTTGCTGCTGCAGAAAGGAAGTGGTTCTACTAGAACTTCCCATGTTCTTGTTCATCATCTCCGCATGAAGATGATCATTGGACTGGCCATGAAGATGAACTACGCGCGCCTGGCCCGGATGTTCTTCCACCTCAACCTCTTCTCCCGTCGCGTCATCGAAGCACCGCTGCTCGTCACACAGCGCGGCCACGGCGGCATCGATGTCGACAAAACTGCGGCCGGAGGAGACCAGAATTGGCTGCTTGTCGCTACGCGACTGCTCCCCCCGTTGAATCTCGGCGAAAATCGGGTCTTGCTGGACAAGCTCATTCAACTGCTGTAGTTCCGCGTGGTTCTGCAGCGGGGGCCCCTGCGTACCGCCGTTGATAGTTGGCCCCGGAGGCTGTTATGCAATGCAAAAGCATCTTGGCTCTCGTACAGTAATTGCATTGTACTGCATATTGATCATGAGGACTACTTAAAGCTAGTACAACAACGTGGTTTCGTTTACTCCTAGACCTACGCTCTGAGTCAGCATTTTACAAGAAGCACCCTTTTTCCGTGTCTGAAAAGAATTATCCCCAATGTTGTCATGCAATTCCTACAACGTAGTACGATGCTTTATTGCAGTGCATAGAGGTGGTCCTTGACCCGCTTGCTCGAAAACCCCACACCCGTAGCAAACGCCGACCGCGATTCCGGCCAGGAGCACGACGCTTCCCAGAGAAATCGCCGCGATCAGAAGCCAGTTTGGGCGGGAAGCGGTTTTTCCGCCTTGCAGCTGAGTGGCTGCACGACCACGCGCATCTTGTTCTGTCTTCTTGTTGTACTGGTTTTTCTGCTTGCCGTGGTAGTTTCCGTTTCCCCCATCCCCATCCTCCTCTTCCCCGAACGGGAACGGCAACGGCTTTGGGTTGTGGTCATGTGACAAATTACCCTCGGTGCTGTCGGAGGCGAAACTCGGAGGCTGCTCCACGTCCACCGCGCGTTCCTCGCCGGCAGCCAGAATCATGTAAGACCCATGTCCAGACGATTTGGTCATCATGGTGGTATCATGTCCACCAAAAGCGTGATGCTGAACACGAACACGAACACCGTCGTTCTTCCGGAGCATAAAATCGTCCTCGTGCTCGAAAGCACCATCGCGCTTCCGAAAAGTAGTAGCGCCGCCGCCGGGGCGGGGGGCCATCGTGATCTTACTTTGATGTCCCGGCTGCATTTTGGTAGTTGTAGGAAAGTGGACGCTCACCGTTTGGCGTTTGACGGTGTCCTGTCTCGGTCCGATTCCCTCTCCCCGTGAGATGTGTGATGCGCGATAGAAATATTGCGGTCTTTTTTAGTGGTTAGAGATTTTCAAGGAAATAATGTGAAGATTTTCGAGATATTTGTCCAAAACGATTTCAGAAATTGTCCAAAAAGTAAAAGGTAAAATTCTTTATTCCTCAGGTCTTGTAAAATTCTTTATTACTCAAAGAAAAAGGTTTTGTTTTCTCGTTCCTGTTTCCCCACGGTAGAAATTCCAAGGAAAATCGATCCGCGAGATCTACTAGACTCGAACGTGCGATAAGTACTGCCACCAGCGGAGCAAAGCCGGTAATATTTTTGACTTGATTTTTATTCTTAATACGAGAAATAATTATCCATGTAGAGATTTTTTTGTGGCGAAACAACTTCTTGTTAGAGAAGGTTGTTTTTGTACTCCGTACTTCTTGTTTTTGCGATAAACACTTGGCACAACTACTTGTAGCAATTCTGTCACAAGTGAAACTGGTGCTGTCAAGGATTTTATTGTGCATGTATAATTCAATTTCGATGAAATGGCTTGCTTCATTGTTCTCAATGATCGTCGACCTAGTGCAGCAGCTCATCTTTCGGGTAGATTCTGAAAAGAATTAAAGAGAATAAGTAGAACCTTGTTGCTGCGAGGAGGATAGGCGGAGCAGTGGAAGCCGCTCGAGGCCCCTTGAGGATTTTTTTCATCATCAAAGAAGATCGGGTGGCGCTTCTAATTGCAAATTATCATCCAACTCTTAAAGAGATCCTTCACGACTTTTCACCGGATCCACACATGCTCGTCGTCGTGCATCGGATCATCATCTTCCAGATCTTATGCTGATCTCCGTAAAAATACGGCACAGTGTAGTGCTACATGTTGACCTGCTCCACAGAACCGGCTGGTGGCGGTCGGATGTATCTGCTTCAAGCAACCGTCGTACGAGGACCTCGGCTCTTCTTCTTAGTTCTGATCTGTTCTTTTCGATCGCGAGCGAGCTGACGTCGAAGTCTGATGATCCTTGAGTTCGACGCATCAAGCTTCGTCGGGTAAGAAATCGGATCGCAAAAGATCGTGCCGGTTGTGTCGTGGATCTTCACCATGAGGATAAAACTATACCGTCAAATACTTTGTGTTTGCAGTTCGATCTAGTTGATGGTCTTCATGATCTGTGGTGGATTGTCACACATAAGAGCTGCATGCGGGTGTGTGATAGGGGGATCTCGACTCTCTGCTTACTCCTTTTCGGAGCCGTGAATTTCGGTGGGCGTTTCGTTGCAACTGAGACAGTCTCGGTTTTCGGCTTATTTCGCTGGATCTGATCGTTAAGTTTCTGTCATCACCTTCGTCTTTTTTTTTTGAGCAGTCCTCTTGAGAGGAAAAAAAGCTCCACTTGCACTTCGAGAGAAGCGATTCTGTACTGTCAAAATGCACGACTGGTGACTCATGTCTTATACAAGATGCATCTTTTGTTCGAAATAACCTGCCTTGGCCTCGCTGTCGCTAGCAGCAATGGCGAATGCGATTCTACATCTGGTCACTCTCAGTGAGGGTTGCGGTACTTACTATTTCTAAATTCGAACGGTGGTTCACAACCAATTTCAAGTAGTCACAAAACAAGTATGCATTTTTTCGTTTTAGCATTGTGTTGCTGCCTCCCATAAGTCTAAGTGGGAATTTCTAAGTATCACTACTGGTGCTGGTGCTTTTCTTGCGAATAATGAAAATTATACACGTAGGGCTTAGAGGTTGTTCTTCTTGATACACCAAATGAAAATTGTCCACGGTATTTCTGAGAGAAGCGAAAGTTGTACAGCTTATGTTCAGTTGGGACAAGATGATGTCTCGCCAATTTTAAAATTTCTGGCGGAGGTCGAAGTAGTGTAGTTGAGGTATAGAAAATGCCCTTACACAACACAATCACAAGAATCTGTGCCACGTTCGCAGCCTCATCACGGTCCTTATCCTTCAGTCATTTTCCTCGTATTCCTCTGTACGAGAATTTGTACAGTCTTCACTAGTTCTTGTGTTTTACGAGTTATGTTTACAACATGTTGTCCGCATACTATTTGGACCAGAAACAAACTTCAATGGAGCCCTTTAAAAGGGCTGGCAGTGATCTCTTCATGTTAGGGCCTATGTATAATTGTGCGAACATGCCACACATATTACTAATTATTATTTGTAAAAAGTACTTGTATCAAGAAATAAGTAACTGTTCGATATTTGCGTCCATTATGCACTGCGTCAAAAATATACAGGAAAAACCAGATCAAGACTAAACCCATTGAACCTCCTCGGGGGTCAGCGCGCGCCCTCCTGTCCAGCCGCCGAAGAACTTCTTTGGACGCGATTCATGAAAAGCTTCAAGAGTAGTTGTGCCGACTTGTTGTCGTTGTATTAGTCGTCCTTTGCCATTGCCGCCTTTGCGTATAAAGGAATCATTGTGCTAGTTCCGGAGAGGTAATATCAACTTCAACCTGAGATCCCCGCAAACGCGGCGTCCTAGCTGGCGTTTCCATCTGCGTCAACAGGAGGAGCATCTTCGCCCCCGCCTTGAAGTCGTGGATCTGCATTGTCCTCCTGCGGTGCAGGAGAATGTTCTATGTCATCCGCGGGCTCTTCCGCTTCTTCCTGCGCCGGGGCCGGTACAAGAAAAGAGGGTGCTGGTGCCGCTCCTGCTTCTTCTATCGGCGTAGCTGCCGTACCGGGGGCCGCATCCTGATCAAGAGGGCTTTGTCCACCGTCCAGCGCTGTAGCGCGCCCCTCGCGTTCTTCGTGGTCCTGCACCGACGTGGCGGCGGCGGGACCAGAGCCAGACGAAGAATCCTTTCCTTCTTGTGCCACATGATCAACTTCGACCGCAACGGGAGCTAGAGTCCGTGCATCTTCCTCATCGTGCGCAGCAGGAGCGTCGACCATTTGGCTATGATCCGGCTCGTCGTCCCGTCTCCGGTTTTCTGGGCGGTTATGTTCCTTGGTTTCGGGCACGATCATGCCCCAGTAGTTGAAATGCACTACCGATGGCTGAAGTTCTAACTGCTCAATTTCCAAGTAACCGACATCAAATGCGAGATTGTGTTTCCAGTTGGAGGTCGTTCTGTCCTGCGCCGGTGCTGGAAGTCGCAGTTGCCGGCGCACGTCCCATTGAATTACATTGTCCTGGTCGACCACGCCCGTATGCAGGGTCAGATCCGCGCCCAAAATCAGCGCAGCCGCCACCCACAACTCCGTGGGCTCCAGAAATTCGTATCCTGTGTGAAAACGTCCCCAACTCCCAAGACTTGTCATCGAAATCTGCACGCTCAGACTTTGTGTTTTTCTCATGGTCATGCGGTCTCCCATCAGAGCCATTTTCATTTTCTACGACCAAGTTTGCAAATTTGTGAAGATGCTCTAATCAGGGCCAGGCAGCGGATGATATGTGAGTCGGCCGTGCTACTGTTAGTTAGTCACGACTATACTGCGTAGCCATCATGAAGTTGTCATGCTAAAGGAATTGCACCACAGTTTGACCCCGCCTCTGCCCCAGGCCGCAGATGGCTTGAAACGCAGATGGCTTGACAGGACTTCATCATCTGCTCCAGGCCATGACGGAGTTGTCATGAATCGCTCCAAAAACTCCCGGCTTTGTCTAGCAGAGTTTCCATATTGATCATGGAGTCGTGAGAACGTTTTCACACGAGATAATCCGCCCGCTGACAATACTCTCTCTTCCTCGTCGTGTGCAGTTCGCGCCGGGATGCTATTGCTTCTATCAACTGCAAATGTGTCTGGATTTGGAAATTTGTGTTGCTGATACCTGCAACATTCAGAGTGACCGCTTGTGCGGCATATTCGGGCTGCATGAAATGATTACTATTTCTTTCGGGTTTCTGCGAGTCCATCTACCATCCAGCAGGATAAAAAAGCTGACTAAGTCGCATTCATGCATCACAGAGCCTCTTCGTCTCCTTCACACCTCGCATCGCAAGTCCAAACGCAGATATAGTTGCATTTGATAGTTTTCCCTCCGTGGGCAATTTGATAGTTCAAGGTGTTCGAAGATGGATTCATCGACCACGGACATGTAGCACAGATACTCCCGCTGCATTTCGGTCAAAAGCTGCCTCCTCTCTTGCCTCTCTTTCCATGTCCAGTCTCCTTCCTCTCTTTTTGCCTTGCACCAGTGCACGCCGCGCTCTTCCCCGAGGGCATGCGTGGCAGCAAAGTTCGGGTCAGCAAAAACGCCCTGCGCCGAAGCCACACCAGGTCCGCCAAGCGGTCGATACTCGGACCGACCTGGCAAGTGAGTGTGTGGTATACCTGTATCGCGCAGACAAAAGCTAGCATAAGCATATTTATCATTATCATATGTGCACATTACATTAACTAGCAAAATTTCGACACTTTTACCAATATGCAATATGACAATATGACAAAATGACAATATGACTGCGGCATTTTGAGCAAAATGACCGGAATGTGTTGAAAGTCGGAACCCCCGCCTCCGAAAGCGGGCCCGGCAGCGCCCGCCACTACTTGCGCTGCAAGGCCCGCCTCCTGTCCCTCCATTTCGTTTGAGCGCCAGCGAGACGGCGCGTCATGCGCTCTCCCTCAGTGAAAGGGCACAATTGTCCGAACCAGAGGAACATGTGCGCGACCTGGGCCGTTGCGACCCGAATGACTTTGCCACGGGTCGCCCGCTCTCATGCGAATTTTCCGCACGGGAACCCAAACACAATTGCTCAAAGTTCAGCTGTCGTTGCGTCATAATGCTTTATTCGTGGCGTGGGTGTGGCTATTAGCATCGCGCGTTGCGCTTTCGTAGTACAGTAAGCGCTGACGCCCCAGAGCCGGGGCGATGCTGCTAAAAGCTGCAGCGCACTAGGAGGCGCTACAACTGCGACGCTGCCTATGGAAACAAAGAAGTAGACTGTTGCCAGGCGCGGCGCACGAGCGCCGCGCCCCCTCTAGGTTCAGCAGACTGGGCAAGTGCGAGAGGGGCGGAAGAAGTGCATACGGCTCATCGCCCCAAATTTGCCGCGAATGCATACGCACCCGCCTAAGGGGTCCTAGAATCACAACACCCGGCCGACAGCGTGTCGGGTGTGGCCAATTTTCAGCCGCCGGGCTGTCGCGAGCAATATGCATTATGACAATATGACAATATTACAATATGATAATGCATGTTTTGGAAGGTTTTTCATGGCGTCGTGGTCAGATGTCATATTGGAGCATTATGTGTCATATTGCTAGTTAATGTAGTCTGTATGTGTAATGCAACATATAAAAACATGCATAGTTGTCACGTTGGCAACAGAGTGCTGTTTGAGATGTTGATGTGCCACCAGGCAGATTCTTGTTTTTTTTGGCATTAGCAAAAAGATTCTAGTCAGCATATGCTAGATTTGTTCACTATTCTGGTAACTTTCTCGAGCGCTTTCTTCCAAAGCCCAGTACGGATTGGCGCGAAGGGCCACCAGGTACTGCATAGGGTGATACACTTCATACGTCTGCCCGTTCAGAGGAAATACGGCGCTTTCCAAATGGAGTTGGTTTGCGATTTCGTGCGGCTGCCGCAAGAAATTGTCCATCAGAATCTCCGCCAGGTGGTCCACTAGGACTTTTCGAAACTTATCGATCTGCATAATGCTTTCCAGAACGCCCCCGGAATCTTCCGACGAGCCGTTTTGCAAATGCGGGATGCACCACTCGGCGTGCGCGTCGGCTTCGGTGCACTGTCGCTGCAGGGCAATCAGGCCCCCATCACCCGATCCGGTCAGGGCCGCGGTATTATAGCCAGAAATCGTCGGCGGTTGGAAGACTATTTCATCTTCGTATTTGATCAAAGGGACGACCACCTCATCCTCGACCGCGGCGGATGCGTCACACTGATGTTCTCCGTCCGTTCGGTGCTGCTCCTGCTGCTGGCTGCACTGGCCCGTACCACCTGCCGCGGAGGACCCTCCTGTACCGGAAGCCTCATTTGCGCTCCCAGACCCGCTGCTCGTCGGCCCGCCTCCGCTAGACGAGCTCGCACCGCCTGAGCCTGAGGATCCGCCGCTCCTTCCGCCTGCGCCAGACGCGTCGGATGCACCAGACAGGTCTCCGCCCGGAGTGGCCGCTGAGGTCTGCGCCTGCTGCGACGCCGCCCTCGCTGCAGCCCACCGCTCTCGCCGCTGCGCCGGCCAGTTTTGTTCTTTCGTTCCCGGCAAACTCAAGCCTCGGTAGTCGAAGAAAAAGAAATTGGAACTGGGCGTGGTAGATGAAGATGTTGCGGGCGCGGCGCTCTGGCCCTCGACGCCATGGGAAGCAGTGCTGGCCACTGGCTTCATGGCCACCTCGAGGAGAATGTTGGCCTCCAGATCTTCTTCACTTGCCAAGTGCGCTGGGGGTCGGGCGGAGGAAGAGGAGGACGAGGAAGCTGCAGAAGCAGACGCAGACGCGGTTACTAGTGCAGGTGTCGCACTACCTGACATCGGCGCTGGCCCAGGGAAATGACCGAGAAGCCTGAAGCGTGATGCAACCCAGACAGCAGTTTGAGGGTCCTCAGGCGTGGCGTCCTCGGTAAAATCCCAATAGAGGTTCAAATCCACCCCCAGCACCAGCGCCGAGGCGACCCACAGCTCCGTTAGTTCCAGAAAACCTCCCGGGGCAACTATGCCGTGCTCTGCCACCTCCGATGTACGAGGGAGCTTCTGTGCGTCCTCTCGTGGCACGTTGTTCGGGTCCGCACTCTGGAGTTCGTCGGGCACCGAAATGTAGCAAAGGTATGCACGCTGTTCCAACGACAGCTCGCGGTCGACTTTGATCTCCCATTCGCTCCAATGCAGCGCTTGGTTCCCCGCCTCTGTCTCCGGGGCCGTCTCGTGCTCGGGCCTGCTACGGTCTTGGCACCAAAACAATTCCCAGTTCCTACCCCTTTCGAGCGTCGCCGCATAGTGCGGATCTTGTCGTAATCCTTGTCCTATCGCCCAGGATTCGCGCACCAGGGTAAACAAGCTAGCAGGTGCAGGTGGGGGTGCTCCTGGTTCCATCTGGTCCGCCGGCGGCGTCGCCTTCAGAATTCGGCTCTTTGCAGCGGCGGGAAGAAGCTCATCTTCGTAAAATCGGAGCCAGTTGGTCGGGAAGAAGCTCCTGGCGAGTAAAATCTGAGCCAGTTGGTCGGCCAAGTATCGGCGGAACCACGTTGTGTTCTGGACAATCGCGAGCGCCTGAATTTGCGGTGAATCTCGCGCTGCCGTGTCGCCGTAGCTTAGTCCCGCGAGCGATCTTTGAACATGACTTTGACACACAGTCTTGTGGTCGCCTGTCAGACATTGTTGCTGCAGGGCGATGAGGGCATTGTCCGCAGACCCGGTCGCAGCGCTGTTCTGGAACACAGCCGACGCGGCTGGCTGTTGCTGCTGCTGCTGGCTGCTCTGGCCCGCGCCACGTGCCGCTGACGACGCTCCTGCACCGGAAGGCCCATTTGCGCTCTGAGACCCGCTGCTCGCCAGACCCGCACCGGAGGTCCCCGAACCGCTCGCTCCTGACGCCCCGCTGGCCAGGCCTTGGTTGCTTTGTCCATCTTGACCTTGCTGGGTATTCTGTCTGCCCTGGCCGTGGTTGCTCTGTCCTTGGTTTCTCTGTCCCTGGTTGCTCTGCCCCTGGTCGCTCTGTCCTTGATTGCTCTGTCCTTGGTTGCTCTGTCCTTGGTTGCTCTGTCCTCCTTGGTTGCTCTGTCCTCCTTGGTTGCTCTGTCCTTGGCCGCTCGCCCCGCCTGCGCCAGACGAGCCAGCACCGCCTGCGCCGGAGGATCCGCCGCTCGCCCCGCCTGCGCCAGACGAGCCAGCACCGCCTGCTCCGGAGGATCCGCCGGCCTGGCCTTGGTTGCTCTGTCCATCTTGGCCTTGCTGGTTGTTCTGTCCGCCCTGGCCTTGGTTGCTCTGTCCTTGGTTGCTTTGTCCTTGGTTGCTCTGTCCACCTTGCTGACCTTGGTTCCCGGCATGTCCTTGGTTGCTCTGTCCTTGGTTGCTCTGTCCTTGGTTGCTCTGTCCTTGGTTGCTCTGTCCTTGGTTGCTCTGTCCTTGGTTGCTCTGTCCTTGGTTGCTCTGTCCTTGGTTGCTCTGTCCTTGGTTGCTCTGTCCTTGGTTGCTCTGTCCTTGGTTGCTCTGTCCTTGGTTGCTCTGTCCTTGGTTGCTCTGTCCTTGGTTTCTCTGTCCTTGGTTGCTCTGTCCTTGGTTGCTCTGTCCTTGGTTGCTCTGTCCTTGGTTGCTCTGTCCACCTTGCTGACCACCTTGGTTCCCAGCACCGCCCTGTTGGCCGCCAGACTGTGCTCCGCCTACTTGCTGACCTTGGTTAGGACCCGAACCGCCTTGCTGGCCGCCTGGAGGCATGCCAGCGGCTCCCGGTAGTTGCTGGCTCGATCCGCCCCCGCCTTGCACAACCTGGTGTGGCGGGAGTCTTCCTCCAGGCTGCTGCGGCGGCAGTCCACCGTTCGCACCCGGAGGATGCGGGAGCACCGCCACATCCGGCACCTCCGGTAGGTTGTGCAGCTTTCGCCACCCGTCCATCAGTTTCTTGAGCAACAAGTTTTTGAACAGCTTCATTCCGCCCGGATGATTTTGATTCCCTGCGGGCGCCGCGGCACCGGCTGCTACGTAGTGCTCCGGCGATTCATAAGCGATGCCGTCCCTGCCTACAGCTGGGTATTGACATAGCTGCTCGTGCGCCTGCGAGGACGAGGGATCAGCAGTTTGTTGCTGGTTTCCACCAGCACCAGAGATATTTGTATTGCGCCTCCGGCAGAAGAAGAATCTCGGCGGGGTGGTCGCGTTCAGAAACGCATCCTTTCCGCTCTCAGCATTACCTCCCTGCTGGTGTTGATTAGCAACACTACTTCCCGCAGCTCCGGATCCATTCCAGGCCCGCACAAAGGCGAGCAGAGGGTTGTTCGGAAACACGAGCGGGCGGCGCTTGTTGTGATTGTTATTTTCAGCATTCTGGAAAATGACAACAGGAGAACTTCTGCTGGTGCTGCGTCCAGTTGCTTTATCTTGCTGTTGCAGAAAGGAAGTGGTTCTACTAGAACTTCCCGTGTTCTTGTTCATCATCTCCGCATGAAGATGATCATTGGACTGGCCATCAAGATGAAGTACGCGCGCCTGGCCCGGATGTTCTTCCACCTCGACCTCTTCTCCCGTCGCGTCATCGAAGCACCGCTGGTCGTCACACAGCGCGGCCACGGCGGCATCGATGTCGACAAAACTCCGGCCGGAGGAAACCAGAATTGGCTGCTTGTCGCTACGCGACTGCTCCCCCCGTTGAATCTCGGCGAAAATCGGGTCTTGCTGGACAAGCTCATTCAACTGCTGTAGTTCCGCGTGGTTCTGCAGCGGGGGCCCCTGCGTACCGCCGTTGAAAGTTGGCCCCGATGAAGGCTGTTATGCAATGCAAAAGCATCTTCGCTCTCGTACAGTAATTGCATTGTACTGCATATTGATCATGAGGACTACTTAAAGCGTAGCACAACTTGGCTTCGTTTACTCCTAGTCCTACGTTCTGAGTCAGCATTGCAAGAAACACCCTTTTTCCGTTTCTGAAAAGAATTATTGCCAATGCTGCCATGCAATTCCTACGTAGTACGATGCTTTGCAGTGCGTAGAGGTGGTCCTTGAGAGGACGCTTGATCGAAAACTCCATACCCGTAGCAAACGGCGACCGCGATGACCGCGATTCCGGCCAGGAGCACGACGCTTCCCAGAGAAATCGCCGCGATCAGAAGCCAGTTCGGGCGGGAAGCGGTTTTTCCGCCTTGCAGCTGTTGAGTGGCACGACCACGCGCATCTTGGTCTGTCTTCTTGTTGTTCTGGTTTTTCTTCTTGCCGTGGTAGTTTCCGTTTCCCCCATCACCATCCTCCTCTTCCCCGAACGGAAACGGCAACGGCTGTGGATTGGGGTCATGTGACAAATCATCGGTGTCGGAGGCGAAAGCGAAACTCGAAGGCTGCTCCACATCCACCGTGCGTTCCTCGCCAGCAGCCAGGATCATGTAAGACCCATGTCCAGACGAGTTGGTCATCATGGTGGTATCATGTCCACCAAAAGCGTGATGCTGAACACCGTCGTTCTTCCCGAGCATAAAATCGTCCTCGTGCTGCTCGAAAGCACCATCGTGCTTCCGAAAAGTAGTAGCGCCGCCGCCGGGGCGGGGGGCCATCGTGATCTTACTTTGGTGTCCCGGCTGCATTTTGGTAGTTGTAGGAAAATGGAAGCTCACCGTTTGGCGTTTGACGTTGTCCTGTCTCGGTCCGATTCCTTCGCCCCGTGAGATGTGTAATGCGCGATAGAAATATTGCGGTTATAGAAGTTGAAGTGCTTAGAGATTTAGATTTTGATTTTCAAGGAAATAATGTGAAGATTTTCGAGATATTTGTCCAAAACGATTTCAGAAATTGTCCAAAAAGTAGGAAGGTCTTGTAAAATTCTTTATTACTCAAAGAAAAAGGTTTAGTTTTCTCGTTCCTGTTTCCCCACGGTAGGAATTCCAAGGAAAATCGACCCGCGAGATCTACTAGACTCGAACGTGCGATAAGTACTGCCACCAGCGGAGCAAAGCCGGTATATATTTTTGACTTGATTTTTATTCTTACGAGAAATAATTATCCATGTAGAGATTTTTTTGTTGGGAAAAAACTTCTTGTTAGAGAAGGTTGTTTTTGTACTCCGTACTTCTTGTTTTTGCGATAAACACTTGGCACAACTGCTTGTAGCAATTCTGTCAGAAGTGAAACTGGTGCTCCTGTGCATGTATAATTCAATTGCAATTTGATGAAATGGTCTGCTTCATTGTTTTCAATGGCCGTCGACCTAGTGCAGCAGCTCATCTTTCGGGTAGATTCTGAGAAGAATTGAAGAGAATAGAACCTTGCTGCGAGGAGGATAGGCGGAGCAGTGGAAGCCGCTCGAGGCCCCTTGAGGAATTTTTTCATCAGCAAAGAAGATCGGGTGGCACTTCTTCTAATTTGCAAATTTATCATCCAACTCTTAAAGAGATCCTTCACGACTTTTCACCGGATCCACGCATGGTCATCGTGCATGGGATCATCATCTTCCATATATGCTGATCTCCGTCATACGGCACAGTGTAGTACTACATGTTGACCTGCTCCACAGAACCGGCTGGCGGCGGTCGGATGTATCTGCTTCAAGCATCCGTCGTACGAGGACAACGTCGGCTCTTCTTCTTAGTTCTGCTCTGTTCTTTCTGATCGCGAGCGAGCTGACGAAGTCTGATGATCCTCGAGCTCGACACGTCAAGCTTCGTCAGGTAAGTAGACATCGGATCGCAAAAGATCGTCCCGGTTGTATCGTGGATCTTCGCAATGAGGATAAAACTATAGACCGTCAAATACGTTGTAACTCGATCTAGTTGGTCTTCATGATCTGTGGTTGATTGTCATATAAAAGCTGCATGCGGGTGTGTGATAGGAGGATCTCGAAGATGTTGCTCTGCTTACTCCTTTTCGAAGCCGTAAACTTCGGTGGGTGCTGTTTCGTTGCAACTGAGACAGTGTCGGTTTTCGGCTTATTTCGCTGGATCTGAAGATCGTTAACAAGTTTCTGTCAGCACCTTGGTCTTTTTTCTGGAGCAGTCCTCTTGAGAGGAAAAAAAGTTCCACTTGCGCTTCGAGAGAAGCGCTTCTGCTGTACTGCCAAAATGCAGGACTGGCGGCTGATGTTCTATATAGCATGCATTTTTTCATCGGAACAACCTGCCTTGGCCTCACTAGAAGGAGCAAAAACAAGCTGCGGCTCCTCCCAGATGAGTTGTTTCATCCTCAGGTTTTGCTTGCGCTTGTACCGGTACCGCCTCCACCTGCTGTTGACCAGGGATTGCTGTTTCTGCTTCCATACACGTCCTCGACGCTCTTTGGGCGCTGTACTACCTGCATCTGTCGCAGTTCACGGAGGAGCTTCGCGTTTTCCTTCTGCAAAGGCTCCACGTTCGCCGGAGTTTGCGCCCGCAGCTTGGTTAACTCTTGGAACATGCTGATGTGTGAATCATGGATGTTATCATAACATATGGCAGATCTTATGCCATCTTCGTCGCATGAACGTGAAAAAATTAGTGCAAGAATACTATTGATGGTCGGTATTCTAGCATCCGCATTCATAAAACCTATTGCTATCTTAATCTACCTTTACTTCACAGAGGAACGATAGTTCACTAACATCCTGCGTAACAACAATAAATTTCTACCTTGTCTTCTCCCTTTGCAGGCTACGAATCAGCATCTCCTTTTTCGCCAGAGTGGACTCGTGTGCCCGCTTTTCGGTCTCGAAGCTATATATTCTCGCCTGCGCTTCCTTCTTGTACTCGCTACCCATCAGAACCTTTTGGAGAGTAGTTGCAGGTGATGTTGAATTTATTTTCTGCTCAAGTACGAAGTGGTGGCGCGGCCGCTCAGCGAAAATGTTAAATGCCCGAGCCATGTTGATGCGCAGGGGCATGAGACTGGACTAGTAGTTCTACCCGATGGGAAGAAGGAAAATAATTTTCCTACGCCTGATGCAAGAACTGCAAGTAAAACGAGAACTACAACCAACCACACATGAAAGATTGAATAAACAGGACATCAAACAAGCAACTCTAGTACTTTGTGTTCCGCGACTTTCAATTTTCGTGCCAGCGCGTCCCTTTGGTCTTTGAGCACGGAAAGTTTCGTGTTGCCCAGGTCCTTTTTCGTTCTCAGCCACGCGTTTTCGACGGCATAGTCCTCGGCCTCCATCGCCTTTCGCTCCAGATCCGTGGTGAGGTTTAGGATGTGCTGCTCCTTCAGATACCGCAGCTCTGGCACGAGCCGCTTCTCGATTGTCTCCTTGGCTTGTCGCGCGTCAAACTCCGCTTTGTTTTTCTCCTGTACCAGAATGTCGCTTTGCCGCTTCTGCTGTGTTAGTTGCGTTCGCAGAAATTCGTTGTTGTCGAGCGAGTCTTGGAGCTGCTGGGAAAGCTGCTGGTAGTATGGAAAGGAAGAGGAGGAAGAACAAAATGATGCAAACAACTGGTCTAGTAATAGGTTTTCTTTTTAGTTTTACATGAGCGAGGGAACAAGGACGCTGCTGTCTATAATCTTGTAGCTGCAAAACACAAACAGAAAACTAGCTAGAGAGTAAGGTGATGCAGCATGTGCATGCTGAGCAAGGCAGCCGTAGACCACCACAGCACGGTGAGTAACAGTAAGCAGCATGGTATCTACAATTTCTTCGGCGCATCGAGGCGAACAGGGTATCTTTGTCTACCACAAACGCAGCACAATTAAAGAGGTAGACCTTCTCCAGCAGCGAGCGACCTTCTAAAAATTTGCAGCACGAGTATAGCGTCGTGAGTAAGCTTATGCTCGATGGCGCGCTCGTTTTTACGACAATACGACTACGATACCATGGTGAGTAAGATTATCCAGCATGCTTCTCTTCACCATCATTCTGTCTCTTCTCCTCATCTGATAAGTTTTCGTCTTCCAGCTGTTTCCACTTGCCGCCAAGAAAAACCGACATCTTTTGATCTTATTTGCAAATGCTTTGTTCGGAGGATGGTTCTGATGCTACTCTTTCTTTAATACAATCACCCAAAGAATAAACACGCTTAAGCCTTGTTTTTTCTGCTTTTTTGTAAAGATAAAGGTCGTGATTGCGCGCACACACAAAGAGCGACGCATCAAATCTCCTGCTTGTAGTGCTCAAAGGGCAAGCACAGCGGCCATTTTGCAGTATCTCTCTCGACACCCAGCTGACCCAACGAGCATGTTTTGACAATGTCTTCCACTCTACTCCGCGAGCTGAGTAAATTGATACCCGGTTTGATGCAACGTGGTTTTTCAGTCGTTGTGTCATATGTCGAGGAAATCCGTTCGCAGACGACCGCTTTTAAAACCTGACGGAACCACAAAAAGACAAAACACGAAGTTTGCTGCAGACAACACTGCAGGACGAACACATACAACATGAAAGTGTTATCGCGGTCGCGCTTGATTGATAAAGACCGATGCACCTATGAGAAGAACATCATCATTTCAAAATAGAACAATAGAGCAGCTGCAGCTTTTGCTTTTGCGTGCTGCGCCCGAAACCAGATGAGGTGTGAAGAACTTCTTGGCGCCCTCTGCTACGATATTTCAAAAATGGCATACATATACAGAAGATACGAAACAGTACTTACAGTTGGTTGCCTTTCCGGCGGAGCCGTTCAGTTGGAGTGGATCCAAAATCGGGGCCTCGACTCGGCTACTGCCTTTACACAACTCTTGTTCACGTTCACAAAAGGTCGTAGCGGGCAAGAATGTCGATCGGCATGGGACGAGTAGCCCGGGCTCTGTCTGTCTCGTTGTGAGGATTCTTGTCGACGTGTTTCACGTTGTTCCTTCGCAGCTGGTGCCAGTCCGTCCTCTGTCCCCGCGGGGGTCCTCGTGGTCCACCTTCCGGTCCAAACTCGGCCAAAAGCTGCTGTCGCGACCACAAGGCGTAAAAAATCATACTCAGGCCGAGAAGAAACAGAAAAAGGCAGAAGCGGCTCATGGAAAAGCAGCTTCTTGTGCCGGTTGTTCTCCAGCCTGATGATCGCGGTCCTACTTCTATCGGGGAAATAAATCCTTGTCCTCCACAGCTGGTGCTTTCCAACATCTCGGCAAGATTCGCTGGGGTTGTAACTCCTGCTGTCGCAGCTACCTCGTCGTGCTCGTGCGCAGTAAAAACGTCCATCTGGTGCAGCTGCTCCAGGGTAGTTTTACTAGGTGTGGATGGTGACCTCCACACAGCGTCATCTTGTGCTAGCAGCTGGTGGTCTTGTTGCTTGTTGAACTTCACTGCTTCCACCTCCACGCTCGTCTTAATCGTCGGGGAAAGAGCAAAGTCGTGATGCAGTTCGCTTTCCTCTGTAGAAGTCCGATCAAGATTTAGATTTTTTCCTTCACCAAGTGATAGAGGGTTTTTTTCTTCACGGCCATGACTCTCCATCATCGCCCGCGCCCTCTGCAGCTCTCCGGCCTCGTCTTCTGCTTCTTCTGCAACGCTGACCCTGAAGGAGCTTTTTTCATCGATTATTGCGTCATGGATTTTTCCCTGTGGCGAACTGCAAGAGCCGCGTTGCGATCCACAATCATCTAAATTTTCCATGCGCAGGTCCAGCACCTCTCCGGCCAGCAGCATCTTTTTTACCTGCTCTGTTACGAGCTGCTGGAGGTGTGCTTCATCGAGCGAAGGCGGTTGAAAGTTGTCTGATATGCACGAAGTCTTACGCGGCAAACAACCTGGTGTGTTCTCTACTGCTCCATCGTGCTGCTGTAGTTGAGCCTGCTGTTGATGGTGTTCCGGAAAAAACAGCACCCGCGGAGTCGGTTTTGGATAAAACTCATTCTCGCTTTTATTTTCGCGATGCCTTAGTAAGACACTGCTTCTTGTTGACGCATCCAGCAGGGTAGTGGTCTCACCGACTGCCGCCGCTTTGTCTTTCGAATCAGTCGCAGCAGTGGTCCCGGTGAAAATCGCAGAACTGGTAAGCGGTCTCAAGTATGATTTATTTCCGTCGCAGTGCATCAATGAAGCTGGAGCTGCCCCCTCTTGCTCACCTACGACAGAATAGCGGCAACTCGCCCCTGAAATGTCAAAATCAACAACTGGATCATCACTAGAGCTACTACCCGCAGCTTTTGGACTTGGAGTGGACGTAATCACCACCTGGCCCGACTGGTTCAGGGACTGGATAATCTTCGGCAAAAGCTTTTCGATTAAAGCCACGTGCTGCTGATTTGCGGCTTCCGCAGTTATTGCAGCTGTTCCGGTTCTACTTTCGGTTTCGTTATTCTTAGTGAGGGAAGTAGACGATGATGTTGTGGTCGTACAGCGAGCAGTTGTTTCCACAAACGGAGAAGTTTCGTGCCTTTTGTCCACAAGGCGCGGTGTGATGAAGGAGTTTGGTGGAAGGTTCAACATTTTTCCGGCGCAAAGTGTGGAAGAAGGCGGTAATTTTGTCGCGCCGACACTGTTCCTTGGAAAGGATGTGGAATGAGGAACCCCACCGTGGTTCTGATGCTGCTTTATCAGCCCAGGAGTCTGTTGAGAGTCCTGCTCGCTGCAGTCGTTGATATCACAACTACCCGCTGACGAAAAGAAGATACCGGTACTTTTGGAATCGGACGAGGAATAAACTTCATCTTCGTAAAACACGACCGCACGAGCAGCCCCCGGGTGCTGCTGCACCTCCAATTCGTGCAGCTCAGACATACTCGGCTGCAACTCTCCTACGGCGGGAATTTGGGGCATCAGCATAGAAGAGTGGTCCAGCATCTGGGTAGACTCGTTCGCATCGGAGGTCACGTCCATTTGAGAAGTGCTTGTATCATTTTGGGGCACTTGCGAGATGAACTGCTCGTCCGTGCAGCTAGAGGACGAGACCGCGATCGTTTTCATCACGTCCGCCTCCTCTTCTTCCTGAAATAAAGCACCACTGTTGCAGCTTTCCATACTCGGAGATGACGCAATTTTTCCAAAAGTGCAGGCATTGCGCGTCCTCGACTGCATCTCGATCGGATTTTTGCTATCATCACTTGATGATTTTCCAACACTGCGGCCGGCAACACGTTTTTCGTCATGTGGGTGGCTCGGCAGCATCTTCGTCGCCGGTCTTTCGTCCCCATGTGAAGCACTTGTCGGAAGCTGCAACGCGGCCGAGCTACTCCAGTGAAGCAGCATGGCAGCGTCGACGCTTCCTTCTTCTCTTTGGTGTTCCAACTGAGAAGATGACGTGGGGCTACACATCACACGCAGAGAATTTAGTTCGCCAGCAGTTCTTCCCTCAGCTGACTGGTCAGGGCGGTGCGCGTGCGTCCCCGCTGGGGGGCTTTGAGTTTGACCAGTATGATTCCCATTAATGTCCTCGTCCAAAGCCGCGGCACTACTTGATTTGTGCTTGTTGTTGGAAACAACGGTACTACTATGGCGGCGTCAACAATCTCACCACTATAGTATATCAAAAAAAAATTCATATCGTATTTATGTAGCACCTATTTTGAGCTACCACTTTAAAATAGATATGCAATAGTAGCGACTTTGAGCTAGCTGCCTTGAGCTAGCTAATTCTTCCTCCTCTTTACCAACGCGCAAGCCTCAAAAAGCGCGCTTTTTCTGCTATCCTTCCAAATTTAGCACCGCTGCTAGTGAGCTTCGAGCCTAGTTTTTTTCGATAACGTGCTCACTTTTTGGAGGACGTCCCCCGAGGTCGTCAATCTCAGTTCAAAAAGTGCTCGCTTGAGCACAACAAATCCTGGCCATTTTGGAGAACCGTGGGAAAACGTGGCGCGCCAAGAGATGAATGATGAAGTAGAAACGATATAATTTTTTTTTTGATATACTATGGTGGTGAGATTGTTGACGCCGCCATAACTACTGCTCTTTCCGAGAACGTTATACCCCGAGGCCGTTTTCAAGGTGGAAGTCGAAGTCTGCGAGTAGGAGGTTCGCGGTTCTCGCAGTGGCACTCTGGTGTTGTTGTAAAACGCATAGTTCGACGACGCCGTACAGTGCAGCTCGTGCTGCTGCTCTTGTTGCAAGCCTGCACAACTGCTGCCCATCAGTAAGTCATCCTGATTTATTCCTGTGACACAATTACCACTCTGCTGTTGAAGCTGATCCTCCAAAAAATGCCCCGGACGCTGCAGCAGCGGTTGCGTGCGCGCTTCTTGTTGCTCGCTGTATGACACAACATAATGACCACCACCCGACGGAAGTAGACCTTGAGACTGCCGCTCCATTCTCAGCATCATGTCCGTGTCGTGCGAGGGACAGGATGAACGCTGATCAAGAAAAAGAACCCCGGGATCATCATGATGATGACCCTGAATAAAATGCGCACCACGGGGAGAACTGCCACCAGCAGAGGACTGGGTTGCCGCCAAAGCAGTAGATAGCGCTTGTTGATGCAGCAACTGCATTCGTGGTACTAGCGCTTGTTGCTTCATCTCCATAGCAACTTGATGCTGGTGGTTCAAGTGCATCAGGTTGCTGGCTTGTTCCTTTTGCACCATATTATCCCGCACCACAGCCCCCGGACAGCACGACGCGAGGGCCATACTATTTCGCAGGGTCTTAATTTCCTCTTCCAATAAATGAACCTTTGTGTTCATTTTTTCCTCCTGTAGCTTTTTTTCAACCGCTTTCTCCACATAAAACTGGTTCAGAAGATACGAATGCTGGTGGTCTTCTTGCTGGCCTGTCGTGTTCCTCCTGTGCGGAAGTAGATGAAGATTCTGGTCGTGCGACAGTCGTTGTTGAGGAGAGTTGCTGTTGTACTTGTTCCCTGTCCGAGAAGATTGGTGCTCTGCTTGACGCCGCGGTCCACGGACTTCATGTGCTGTCCCTTGTCGATGCTGGTGATCCAGCAGCAACACCTCTTGCACTTCATCCGGTGCTGGTCGCGCTTTGGGGTGAAGAGAGGTGGTGGACGAGACAGCTGTACAAGCAGAAAGCGACAACCGTGAGGACGCTTCTTCGCGTTGGTGCAACTGCCTCGGTGATCGGCAGGTTCGATCTGGTTCCACCTCGGAATAAGACGATTTTTCGAACACTGTCGCAGCAGTAGTTCCTCCTCTTTCTGGTCCATCGGGCGAAGATATTAGCGGTTCGTTTAGTCTTGGCTTTCGCTTCCTGCTATGATCCGTTTCCAAACCGCGAACAGACCCAGGTCCGCGATGCGAAGACACAAAGACATGACCATCTTCCCTCTGGACGACGCCATTGCCTTCTCGCCGGAGCAGTCGTCGCTTCTCGTACTCCTGCTGCGTCTCGTCCCTATTGCTACTGCATCCTAGAGAGGACCTAGACATCAAAATGGCCGACGAAGAGTTGTTCTTTTGCTTTTGCATATTATTTACGATCGCACTTCCAGCACCAAGCTCTTCGTCCTCTTCCAGATCCAACAGTGACGTTCTGGAGTTCACCACACGCAACACGACTGGCGCTTTCATGTCATCAACCTTTGCGACTGTTCCTGTAGCGAGAATCGGATTCATTTTACTGCCGGTGGATGTAGTTCCCTGCTGGAAGGTCTGGGATTGTTCTTGCGAAGCTCCCGTACCTGAATGCGAAGATGAAAAGTCCCTTTCTACTGCTCCCGCGTGCGGGTGCAGATCATGGCGGTCGTACACACGAACAACAGCAGAGGGGGTTTCTGCATAGTGATCTTCGTGAGCCGCTTTTAGTTTTACCCCGCCCTCGTGATCTTGCGGCGATTGTTGTCCTTCTAGCTGCCGCCCCTTCCTCGGCACGACCGATAGAATCACGTTCTTGCAGTCTTCGTGGTTTTCTTGTCCTGGTCTGTTCTCGAACTCCTGTGGCGTCGGCACGACGCGAAGCTGACACTGACTCGTCCCCGTACTGCTTGCAGCTCGCCGAAAATTGAAATTGGTATCAGTCCTGCTCGGTGTTTTTGCTTCTCCTACTCCAAAAGAGAGTGGCGTGGTGACCACGCCACTCTTCGGAGAAGATATTGCGAGTGCGGGATCGTCCTGTTGTACCAACCCGCGGTTCATCGGTGATGAGACTAGCTCGTTGCAACTTGCGGAAGAGACTGAAGTTGAGGACAAGTTTGTGGTGTCCGAGGGCTTAACAGCTGGTCCAGCAGCACCCATCTTGCCCAACCCACCTTGTTGCTGCTGCGGCGCTGTCGGCCGGCGGATCCGGGATCTTTTCCGCAGTTCCTCCTCCTCCCGGGCCTCGCGCCACTTTTCCTGCGCCAGCTCCTGGTTGCGCTTGCGCTGCTCCTCCTGAAGTCGCCGCTTCTCCGCGTGTTTGTTGAAGTAGGTCGCTTTGGAGGTAGTTTTCTCGCTGGACGTGTTCGGAAACGGAATGCTCCACGCGGCCGGTTTGGAGCTGCCTGATGAAAGGTCGTTGCTCTTTATTTCGTCGCTCTTATTTTCAACAAGATCACCCGTTCTCTTGTGCCCTGGTTGATAATGTTTACCTTGTTGCCCCGACGTACCTACATCAAGAACGGTTCCACCCTTCGGGCAGCCCGGCCCGGTTTTCATTTTGCTGTTGGTGGCCACGTTCGAAGTATCCTGGTCCGCCTTCATATTTCGGGGTAACGTTGAAGATGCGTTCTGCTCCCAACTTGCTTTAGTGCCACCAGCACCTCCGCGTGGAAAAAAATTTTGGTTGAACTCCGTACTCAGTCGCAGATTCGCCTGCTCTTCCTCCAATCGGTCTTTTTTGTCTTGTAACCGCTTCTGCTCCCGCTCCCGGATCTGCTGTCGGATATGCAATACAGATTTACTGCACGTGCACACGTACAAAATGCATCACACTAATGTTCAGAAACTCAAGTCATGCAGTCAAGTGTCATGCTCAGTAGGCTTGCAGAAACATCGTTTTGTTGTGCGGAAGCGCAAATTGCATGCTGTGTACGAAAACAAATCTACTGTTGATATCGGAGTTCCTCGCCGTAGGCGAGCCGGGACCGCGGTGGACTACGGTCGATCAGGGACATTGCTTTTGATGTTGAAGCGAACGTGGAGTAAATTACTTTGTTCAACAGTAAATAAATATGATGTACAAAAAGCAAAACGATTCTTTTTGACAAATTGAACGAAAGAAGATAACCTCGCTTGCCTGCTGTTTTTGTTGTGGTTTTCCCAGTAGCATCAATAACTTGGCGGAAGCAAAAAAATATCATGCCGGCTGAGACGGCAAAAACGTGTTTCGACTTGTTCCGATGCAATGCAACAATAACTAATACAACTCGTCATCAGCTGGTTACTTGTTTCTAACTTGTTCGTGACACCTCGCACGCAGCTGGCAGCACACACGGCATTTCGTCGTGCTGCCACTGTTTTTGATCTTTTATCAACAATTGTAGCGGCAGTAAATGAATCTTCAGTAAAGATATGCGTTACTCATTGCAAAAGTCCAGTGCGCCAATGATATTCAAAAGCAAAATCTTTGAAGAGTATCACGATGAAGAAAAAATACTTTTCTTTATACTTCGAACATTACCAAAAAGATAATCTTGAAAGCAAAAAAACACATATTTGCGTGACGGCTACAAAAGGTAGACCTTAAACATGTGCGGCTGTGAGCCTGGTGTCTCATGTCTCATGTCTTGGAGCCGTGTCATGACATGAGGACACGAACATGGACATGACACGGCCGTTTTCATGTCCATGTCTTCATGTCCCGACATCCCAAACCAGGACATGAGACATGAGACATGAGACATGAGACATGGCCAATGTTCATGCTCATGTCCCATGTCCGCGACACGAGACATGAGACATGGCCATCCGCGGCCGACTCTGGTCCAGACCGGAAGACATGAGACATGGGACATGGCGTTCTCATGTCTCATGTCTCGTGTCCCAAGACATGAGACATGAGACATGGCCATCCGCGGCTGACTCTGGTCCAGACCGGAAGACATGAGACATGAGACATGGGACATGGCGTTCTCATGTCTCATGTCCCAAGACATGAGACATGAGACATGGCCATCCGCGGCCGACTCTGGTCCAGACCGGAAGACATGAGACATGAGACATGGGACATGGCGTTCTCATGTCTCATGTCTCGTGTCCCAAGACATGAGACATGAGACATGGCCATCCGCGGCCGACTCTGGTCCAGACCGGAAGACATGAGACATGAGACATGGGACATGGCGTTCTCATGTCTCATGTCTCGTGTCCCAAGACATGAGACATGAGACATGGCCATCCGCGGCCGACTCTGGTCCAGACCGGAAGACATGAGACATGGGACATGGCGTTCTCATGTCTCATGTCTCGTGTCCCAAGACATGAGACATGAGACATGGCCATCCGCGGCCGACTCTGGTCCAGACCGGAAGACATGAGACATGAGACATGGGACATGGCGTTCTCATGTCTCATGTCTCGTGTCCCAAGACATGAGACATGAGACATGGCCATCCGCGGCCGACTCTGGTCCAGACCGGAAGACATGAGACATGAGACATGGGACATGGCGTTCTCATGTCTCATGTCTCGTGTCCCAAGACATGAGACATGAGACATGGCCATCCGCGGCCGACTCTGGTCCAGACCGGAAGACATGAGACATGGGACACGGCGTTCTCATGTCTCATGTCTCGTGTCCCAAGACATGAGACATGAGACATGGCCATCCGCGGCCGACTCTGGTCCAGACCGGAAGACATGAGACATGAGACATGGGACATGGCGTTCTCATGTCTCATGTCTTGTGTCCCAAGACATGAGACATGAGACATGGCCATCCGCGGCCGACTCTGGTCCAGACCGGAAGACATGAGACATGGGACACGGCGTTCTCATGTCTCATGTCTCGTGTCCCAAGACATGAGACATGAGACATGGCCATCCGCGGCCGACTCTGGTCCAGACCGGAAGACATGAGACATGAGACACGGGACATGGCGTTCTCATGTCTCATGTCTTGTGTCTCGTGTCCCAAGACATGAGACATGGGACATGGCCATCCGCGGCCGACTCTGGCTAAGGCCGGAAGACATGAGACATGAGACATGGGACATGGCGTCCCCATGTCTCATGTCTCGTGTCCCAAGACACAAGACATGAGACATGCGACATGAGACATGACCGCCCGCGGCCGACTCTGGTCCAGGCCGGAAGACATGAGACATGAGACATGGGACATGATGTTCTCGCGTCTCATGTCTCGTGTCTCAAGACACAAGACATGAGACATGGGCATCCGCGGCTGACTCTGGTCCAGGCCGGAAGACATGAGACATGGGACATGGTGTTCCTATGTCGCATGTCTTGTGTCTCGTGTCCCAAGACATGAGACATGGGACACGACCGCCCGCGGCCGACTCTGGTTCAGGCCGGAAGACATGAGACATGGGACATGGCGTTCCCATGTTTCGTCCTGGGATGTCGGGAATGGGACACCCATTTCACCAACCAACCCAACCAAACCTCAACCAACCCACGCGAAGTGTCGCCACCAGACCATCCGGCCGCGAGCGACCGATGCTGCCCCAAGCTGCAGCTGGCTCCTCTGGCCGCCCCTGACCAGACGACTCGTGCCGCTGCTGGCCCGAGCCGCCTCTGGCTCGTCTGGCCGCCCCTGACTCGGAGGCCGCCGCTAGCCCGAGGGCCTCGCGCCGCCGCTGACCCGAGCCGCCGCTGGCTCGTCTGGCCGCCCCTGACCCGACGGCTCGTGCCGCCGCTGGCCCGAGCCGCTGGCGCATCGTGGGCCGCCGCTGGCTCGTCTGACCGCCCCTGACTCGGAGGCCGCCGCCAGCCCGAGGGCCTCGTGCCGCCGCTGACCCGAGCCGCCGCTGGCTCGTCTGGCCGCCCCTGACCCGACGGCCCGTGCCGCCGCTGGCCCGAGCCGCTGGCGCATCGTGGGCCGCCGCTGGCTCGTCTGACCGCCCCTGACTCGGAGGCCGCCGCCAACCCGAGGGCCTCGTGCCGCCGCTGACCCGAGCCGCCGCTGGCTCGTCTGGCCGCCCCTGACCCGACGGCTCGTGCCGCCGCTGGCCCGAGCCGCTGGCGCATCGTGGGCCGCCGCTGGCTCGTCTGACCGCCCCTGACTCGGAGGCCGCCGCTAACCCGAGGGCCTCGTGCCGCCGCTGACGGAACCGAGCCGCCGCTGGCTCGTCTGGCCGCCCCTGGCCCGACGGCTCGTGCCGCCGCTGGCCTGAGCCGCTGGCGCATCGTGGGCCGCCGCTGGCTCGTCTGTCTGACCGCCCCTGACTCGGAAGCCGCCGCTAGACCGAGGGGGGGCCTCGTGCCGCCGCTGACCCGAGCCGCCACTGGCTCGTCTCATGTCTCATGTCTGCGCTGACCGCGTGCCGCCGCTGACCCGAGCCGAGGGCCTCGTGCCGCCGCTGACGCGTGCCGCCGCTGACCCGAGCCGCCACTGGCCCGTCTCATGAGATGTCATGCGCCATGTCTCGTGTCTCGTGTCCTAGGGCACGAGACACGGGACATGGAGATGCCATGTCCCGTGTCCCATGTCTCGTGTCCTGGGACACGAGACATGGGACACGGACACGGACACACGGCGATGTCATGCCCCATGTCTCATGTCTTGGGACATGGAGATGCCATGTCCCGTGTCTCATGTCTCATGTCCTGGGACACGAGACATGGGACACGGACACGGCGAAGTCGTGTCTCATGTCTCATGTCCTGGGACACGAGACACGAGACATGGGACACGGACACGGCGATGTCATGTCTCATGTCCTGAGACACGAGACATGGGACATGGGACACGGCGATGTCATGTCCCATGTCTCATGTCTTGTGTCCTACAGCCTCAGCCAGAAAGTGTCGCGGATGCCCATGTCTCATGTCTCATGTCCTGACTTTCGGGTCCACCAAGACATGAGACATGGGACATGAGCAGATCATGTTCCTCCGACCCAGGGCCGGTACGTGTCGGGACATGAAGACATGGACATGAAAACGGCCGTGTCATGTCCATGTTCGTGTCCTCATGTCATGACACGGCTCCAAGACATGAGACATGAGACACCAGGCTCACAGCCGCACATACCCTAGACCTTAGGACGTCGGACGCAAATTCATCACGAATTCCATTGACAACTACATTTACAAAAAAATAATCACCGCGAGCCGATCATTTACAAACTTACGACCGCTTTTGGCGCGCTTTGATTACCAGATTTGATCACGCATTTGGTGTGACGAGGAAAATCTAAATTATCTACAACTCGAACGAAGGAGTACATTCCTTATTAAATTAGAGCCACACATCATCCTGAAAACCGAAAATTTTTTCCATTCACGACTGCGAAAAGCCATGCGATCTGTCCACGAACACACGAACCTAACTTCCATCGGATCTCGGAAGTGGTTCTGATTCAGATTCCGCTTATCTGTAGAATCGATGTCGCGCTATTGCTGTTGCGTATGCGTAAAAAGCAGATTATAAAACAAGGTGCTCGTCTCTCTGGGTCTGAAAGTACACACAATTTTAAGCTCAAGAGTTCGTCCCTTCCTGTTGCACCGGAAGGCGATAGTACGCCGTCAAAAACTAGTGCTATGAATGCTCTGCAGCGAGCGCGAAAGCTGTAGCAACAGGAGGAGTGCTGGCCTCTACTTCTTTATTCACTGATGCTGCTGTGGTACTACAACTTGCTGGTGCTGCGAAGGTTGTCCACCAGTTCCATCAGGACCAGTTCCCCTACCTCCGACACTGCTATAATCGCTGTTGTTTCCGCCGCTGGAGCTTATTACACTCGTCCCTCGAGGACTACTGTTAAGTCGCAAGCTAAACTTGTTCACTTTTCAGAGTCAGAGGGCGGCTGGTGGTGCTGCTGCGTCGTGTCCATTTGTCTTCCTGCTCCACCTGCATGAAGAACATGAATCATATTTGCGCGTTTCCTTCTGGGTTAGAGAAGAACAAGTGCTGTCGAAAAAGCACAAAGTCGTGCGAGAAAATTGATGATAGTAAGGATAATATCCTGCTTTGCAAGCCATAGCCAAAGCCATTGTAGTATGTGTAGAAACGGAAATGAAAATCTTGTGTGCGCAGAAGGATGATATGTAGTGTCCCTTTTATTTGGAGAACAATTATATTCAAACGAAGGCATCTCTTTACCCCGCGGCCGGTTAGCTCCTGCTCCAGCATACGCAGCAGCCCGCTCGCTTAAGATTGTGCGCGCCAGATCTGCTTCTGGCCCATTACTGGCGGCCACAGCACGGAGTTCCGCACTTGATCTGGGGTCTTGTGTTACCCTCCAAGTAAAAGTATGAAGGAACAAACATACGACCTTGCGACGTAACCTATCAAAAGGAAAAAGAGGCCCCCGAGCCGCGGGAAAAAATGGATCGCCGGAAGAGGCTCCCTTGCTCCGGACAGATTCATTGGCTCTCTGAAGGTCCGTGCGCGCGAAAGACCTTCAACTGTCTCGAAGTAGTGGCAACTTCTGCCCTGAATCGCAATGCTGCGAGTCTTCGAACCACATTCCAGCCTCTGGGTGAAAACTTTGGACCTCTTCGCTTTTTGGTGTCATCTGAGTCGAGAAGATTCTAGACTTAGGACCCGTCTACTGGGTCGAGATTCTCAACACCGACCGGCAGCTGCTTTGCCGGCTCAGCAGAGTCCGCACTGCCCACGCAGTGCCGTGGCCACGCCACTGAGCGGAGCCCTCGCCGGGCTTTCTAAAGGCATTGAGCCGGGCACGTTCTCGCTTTTTGTTCCCGTTTTTGGGGCGTCTAGCGGTGAGGTGCAAAAAAGCTTTTGGCTACGTCACAAAGTCATAGTTTGTTCCTTCATATGACCAAGCCTCCTCTTGTACCGCAGGGTCAGGGGGGGCAGCGCCGATGTTCACCTGTGCTTAGGGAGAAAAATTGTAATTGAGCTGCAGTCCTCAACCTTCCTATGAAACTTTGTTCAAGGAGCTGAAGCTGGTGATGCACTGACTGGAGTTTTTCTTCCATATTTGTTTCTCTCTTTCTTACTTTATATTCATTTTCGCGCATTGTGTTTGGATTTCGAATTTGCAGCCTCTTCTCTTTCATTTCATTCTTCGTTTATATTCTTTTCGCTGTCCTCTCACTCTCTTGCACGACGACCACGACGGCGCTTGTTTAATATCTGGATGTCTTTGGATATCTTGATCTTCGATATGTGGAAATAACAGTTCCAAGTTTATATCGTATGCTACCCAGCTTCAAAACAGCCCAAGATGATATGACTTCGAGTTCGAGTACGTCGGTGGTGATCCCTCTTGCTCTTAAGTATAATTATATATAATTATTGAAATGCGTTGCTGTTACTACTCTGCTGCTCGTTCCTCCAGTAGTTAGACGTTCCGCCAGCCGGCTCGCTAAACCACGAAATCCGCGTCGCTGGCTTGTGGCCGCTTCTTGTTTCCCGCCGGGCTTTTCTTCTTCATCCAGAAATGCCTGCTCCACGACCGGCTGCTCGTCGGTAAACTCGCTTTCCCCATCGGCGTCGACCGCGGTTGTGCTTTTCCCCTTGTTGTCTTCGAAGTCGTGATCGTCCAGCACAGCGGTGGCGGTGCAGAGGTAGACTGCATTACTCCCTGCCAGCATCTTCAAGCCTTTCTGAACGCCTCTCGGAAGTGCAACGCCGGATGAAGCTGCTCGTCGACTCGTTGCGATCGTCGATTTGTGAGGTGAGGTGAGGTGAGGTGATCGTCAATTTGTGGTCGACCACCCGTTCATCCTGGTGCACGGGGGCGACGTGCCCGCCGCGCGACGGCGGGCACGGGTCGGTGGCTGACATGTTGTCGTAGCTAGAAGTCACTTAACGTTCTTTACGGCTCGGAAATGCTAGGATCTTCTCTTGTTCCATCAAAAAGGTATTTCTCGCTGAACAAAAAACGAGCCCAGAAATGTTTGCATTGCTAAACAGCGAGGACAGGTGGTATGAGTGCTCCACCTTGAGATGGTCTCACATACCACGACATCAACGAGACGAAGACGATCCCGACCCCGTGGATTTTTTTCCCGCTCATTTCGCACTCAAGCTACTTTTTTTTCTTTCAAGACAACGCTCTCTTGATGCACATACAACGAGAATGACGATCCCCCGTTTCTCTTTCTTCACTTACGCTTACCAAACTAGTACGAACTGCATTGTTTGCAGAAATATCACAGAACTGGATCATTGACGATGAGAGGACTTATCCGAAATTATTATTTGACGCAGTAATAGAGGACAGCAACAAGCGCGATGAATGAACGTGATCGATAGACCTGGTGAAGAGACCCGAGTCTTTCCTTCCTATTCATGACTGGAAAGAATTATGCGATCTTTCCACGAACACTCCCCGTTCATCGGATATCGGAAGTCGAAGTTGTTCTTTTGCCTGTACTTGGTACAGGTTAATGTAGTCGCGCTATTGCTGTTGCGTCTTGCGTAAAAAGCAGCTGCATGAAGCAGAGTCGTGTTTAGTTCTGGTACACCACACAATTTCAATTCTCCAGAGTTGATCATTTGCCCTTAAAGTGTGCAGTTCTTGGCAAGAACTACTTCTTGCATGGAACTGCTGTTTGCTGCCGCAATGGTGCTGTAGCAGCCCCTGCATTCACTGATGCTGCGGCTGTGGTACTACAACTTGCTGGTGCTGCGAAGGTTCTTGTCCACCAGTTCCACCAGGACCACCTCCCCTACCTCCGACATTGCTATTGTTGCCTCCCCCGCCAATCACACTCGTTCCGCGCAAAGAGACATTTGAAGTTGCTCCCGGATGTTGATGATGCTGGACAGTAGTTGTACCACCTCCAGCACCGCCCCCACCCCCCATCGGCGGATCGAACTGCGACTTCTGCTGTTGCACGATGCCCTGCGGAATAATGATGCGGTCGTCGCGCTGGAGAAGCAGAAGTCCCATGTTTTGATGAATCGGGTTGCTCCCGGTCGCGGCGGCTGCGTTGGCAGCACTACTAGCCGCCCCCGGTGTGACGACGCCACTGCGGATCCCGGACACCGTGCCACTCTGCAAATTGGAATTTTGGTACAGGGCCTGTGCTACATTCATCGTCGTCCCGGTTGGGACGCCGAAGTTGTTGTGCGGTCCTGGAGGAGCTGCAGCTCCTCCCGGACCCGGGCCGGCGGCCGCGTGATTGATCGGGATGAATCTCGGCGTTTGCTGTCCGGACAAAAAGGTCGCCGTGCTCGTGCCCGAGCTGTTTTGCGCGGTCCGGAAGTCAAATTGAGTGATGGGGATCGTCGAGCTTTGGATCGCGGGGTGGGTGAAGATAATCTGGTGCTGCTGCTCTTGCGCCTGCTGCACAAGACCAGTGTTCATGCTCAGGCTCTGGTGGTCCATCGTGCCAATCGTGGCTGCGACGCCTTGCGAGGACTGCGTAGGAACAGTAGAAGTACTACATGGTCCCCCATTCGCACCAGCTGAAACAAGGTTGTTCGCCGCGCCTCCGCCAACCAGGCCCGCGTTGAGGTCGAAATGCGGTGGCGGACTGGAGTTCGCGAGCAGGGAGAGCAGGGAATTCGAATTGCCGGAGGACGTACTGGACCGGCCCGCACTGCTTGGATGGTTTGTTGAATTTGAAGTCGCGGCCACGCCGGTGCTGGTCGAACTACTGCTGTGAGTTGCGGACGACAAGATCTCCCCGCCCGGGCCGCCCTGGACCAGGAGGGGTCCACCTCCGCCCGCAACGTTTTGGTGATTGTTCTTGTTCATCACGGGTGTGTGGGGTGGCGCGATGGGTTGATGTTGATGCACCAAATGGTTATTCGTACTAGTTTGTTGATGCGAAGTGGAAACTACAGCACCAGATGACACGAGTTGCTGGCGCGCGCCCGCCCCGGCTGGCTGCTGCAGCGTTGACGAAGTTGACATCATTAAACTATCCTCATCCACCTCCTTTATCGTGTCCCCCGCTCCACCTCCCGTCGTCGGCCCCCGACCTCCCCCGAGGTTCGTGGTCGCGACCACTTGACTCAGATCCATGCTGTCGGCCCGCAAGGTCTGCAAACTCCACCAGTTCGCGTCGGCGAGGGACTTCAGGTACGTCTCGTGCGCCTTCTGGTTGAACTCCGCGATGCGCTTCTTCAGCTCCACATTCTCGACCCGCATCTTGCGTAGCTGGTTGGACAAGCGCGCATCGTTGTAGCCGGCAACCTCCAGTTTCAGCTGCAGTTCCTCGTTCTGTTGCTTCAACTGTTGGTTCTCTGTGAGCAGAAAGGACTTTTCGGTCTCCAACTTTTCGATCTGGCCCTGCTGCTCCTGATTTCTGCGCGTCGTCGTTTCCACTTTGTGATGAAGCAGATCGAGATTGGCAGAGAGGGAGCAGTGTTTGCGATTTTTCGCTTTCGATGTGCTCGTTTTATTTTTCACCGTGGTCGTGGTCTCTGATGTCTCAGGTTTAACATTGCCGGCGCTGGTGGAAGACGAGGAGCTGCTCGAAGATGCAGAAGGATGTCGTCTTGGTTGCTTGTTTTCAGGTAGTGGTGGGGGTCCCTTGTGCTGTTCCACGAGCTTCTGGGAAGCGACACGCGCGGTGTCCTCCGGTTCTTCTTCTTCCAGAGCGGCAGCGCTCGTACTCGTCCTTGCCCCGTCTGGATCTACTTCTTGCGCCTTGATCGTGTTCTCTTCTGGTCCTCCGTGACCTCCTCGTCCGGTTTCCGACTTCCAGCGCCTTTTTGACGCTTGATTTTTACCGCTTGGAGGCGACAAGCCCGAACCGGTGGCGTTCGTGATTTCGTCGTTCTTCACGTTCAAACTGCAATTCTTTCCGTCGCCCTTGTCATCCTCATTTTCCTTCTCTTCCGGAGGATGATCCCTAGTTCGCCGCGACTCAGTGGAGACCATCTCGTGAACTGTTTTTGCCCGCCGCGGTGGAAGTCGCTGCTTCAATGTATGATCAAAATCCTGATCCTGTAGTTCTGATGTGGCACTACCAGAACTCCTGCTCGCGGTGTTGTAATCCTTAGCGTTCGACGTCCTAGAAGTACGACTACCCGTCCGATGTTGAAGCAGCTCTGGTGATGTTGATGGTCGTCTCTTGTTCGCACCGGTGGCGGTTGCTGTAGCATTTTTTTTCTCGTCGGTGAACTTCATATGGTCTTGTTCCGAAGATGCTGCAACGACCGGAAGATGTTGTTCCGGTGGCGGCACTGTTGGAATTCTACTCTTCAACGAAGCTGCAGATGGAGAACCTCCGACCTCCTTATTTCTCGCTGTAGTTGATGCCGTTCTTGCGCTTGAAGTTCGCTGAATATTCTGACCTAGATTCTCCCTGCTACTCGACGAGAAAAACGCGGGCGGGGGTGGAGGTGGCGGGACCTCTTCATCCGCTTCTTCCTCCACGTCGGGGAGCTGGAAATGACTGGCCGCCGCGTAGAAGAGGTCCTCGTGCGGGAGGTAAGATGGTGTAGTTGTAGCCGGACTTGTGCTACTTCTGGCGGTGTTATTTGAGAATTGTTGCGCAGCCGCTGAAGCGGATCCCGGGATCTGCGGTCGTTGCTGTTGCCCCGTACTAGCAACAGCTAGGTCGCGAAAGTTCGTCCCGACATGACTGGAGGAGGCCGAGCTATGATTCATCAATCCGCCAGAAGTCTGGAAGCCTTGATGAAAGAGCGGCGGGTAGTTGCTGTGCATGTGCTGTTGCTGCTGTGACGCGGTGTGGTCGACGAACAAGCCCGTATTAGGTGGTCCTCTCGCTTGTGTCGAAGTTGTTCTCGGCTGCACAACGTGGTCGTGTCTGTGATCCACAAGCACGTGCTGTCCACCCACGTTGACATAGCTGTAGTACCCACCGTTGTAGGTGTCGTAATAGGTCGTCGCCGGCGGGGCCGCACCTCCGCCGCCGACTGCTCCTGACGCAGCTGTAGCAGAAGCCCCTACAACAACGGCACTGCCAGCTGTAGAGGAGATCGGTACAGGGTAGTACGCACCCATCGCATCCGGGCCGGCAAGCACGGTGGTTCCCGAGTTGATGTCGTGATAGGGAGGGGTCAGGAGGTGCGCCGAGGTTGATGTGCTTCTATCCGCCGCATTGATGTCGTGGTGGTCCACAAACTGGTAGGGGTTCGGCGCAAATTCCGCCCCGGAAGTCGTAGTTACAGGAAGATCTGCTCCCGTCTGTGTGGTCCAGAGATAGTGTGGATCTATTACCTGCTGCTGCTTAGTATTATCATGATAGCCCCCGCCAGTCTTTCTTGCACCGCTGAGTTTTTTACCATGTTTCAAATGTTTCCCGCCGCCGGTGAGAATCTCCACGACACGAGCTCCCCCCGAGGACGAGCCGCGCGAAGGACCAGGAGCCTGCTTACTACTAGAAGACGTTGCACCTCCTCCTCGGCCGCTGTACTTACTCGCGCCGTCTCCAACCGATGAAAGTTGTATTTCTTTGATGTGAAGATTCTGCTTGTTGCTGCCTTTTGTCCTTTCCTTCCTTCTACCTTTCTGTTTCTGGATTCCGTTTTCGTCCTGGTTATCTTTTTCATCCCCGTCTTCTACCTGTTGCTTCGCACCTTCTCTTCGAGGTGCATTTTCCACGAACTCGTCCTCTTGCTGACGCAGCTGCGTTTGCCCTTTTGCTACAGCCTTTGGCTTTGCGCTTCCTTGTGCGCCAGTAGTTCTTGCGCCGCTTGCATTCTCTTCCTCGTTCACGACGAGGGCTTGCGCTTGTGCCGTCTCACCAACATCTACTCCTGTAGCCACTGCGTCTGCGTCACGAGGATCATCTGCTGGAGCGCTGCTATGATGATCCTGCTCGACCAAAACAAGGTAAAAATCGGTTCGCGCTGGTTCGGGTATCAGCTGCAACGCCTGCAGAGACGAAACTTCCACCTCCACGCCGTGGTCCTCATCAGTGGATAAGAAAATATCGCAGCTCTTGAGTTCGGCCGCTATGGGTTTTCGAAACTCCTGTTTGACAACAGGTCGTGGTCCACCTGCAGTAGAAGTAGAAGAAGAACCGCCGTCCTGCTGGAACCAGCACAGGCAGTCCTCGAGAAAATGCCGAATCTTCTTGTACTTTTGCCCAATGTAGGCCTCGAGCTCCAGGAGTTGTTCTTCCTCCAAAATTATACAGTCTCTGTCTTTTTCCACCTTTTCGAGACCTACACCTGCAGCTGCCGCAGCGAAGAAGAGGGCCTCGCGCAGCTGGGACAGCTGTGCCCGTTTCCTCTTTCTGACTACTTTCTGCAGCGCGATGTAGAAATTTTTCCAAATTCGTTTTTCCTCATCCGTTGTCGGCTGGCGAGAGCCGCTGATGGGTTTCGCAGGTTTAGAAGCGCTTGTTCCTGTTGATAGGGGGGCCGTCGCCGCTGCTTTGGGGTGACGCAGAGGAGGAGCATCTTTTGAGGATGACGTTGTACCATTTTTTGGATCGGAAGACGCTTTCTTCTTCTTCTGGCTGACTGGTCCGTTGCCCTTGAGTCTATTATCCACCGCTAGAGGTCGCTGCAGCACGCCTGAAAAATGAGAGAATGAGAAAATTATACGTCGTCTCTTTTTTATTCGTAAAAGTAATTCTCTATGATCACCAGCAGGGGAACTACACTGGCTCTGCGATTTTCATAGTTCTTGTGCACATCGTCTTGGAAACTTGTTAAATGACACGAAGTACGTAGACACAGCGGACATATACTCAAGTCAACAAGTTGCACTCAGGTTATCTTCAATCTATACCCTGATGCGACATAGGCAATGCCCTGCTTTCACTTTGTGCTGCTGGCCTCGGAGTCTGCTGCTCTCCTTCTGGTCGCGGACCTACAGCTCTTTGTTGAGAGGAAGAAGAAGAGGACGCAGCACCGTCCTCAAGAAGCGTTGGCCCATCAGGAACGAGCGGTCCATCGTTCTCAACGTCAAGGATTCCACCCAGATGACTAGCAGTGTCGGAATGAAATTGCTCCCCATCAGGAGGAGTAGCCGGCGTAGTACCAGTAACAGCAGGCATTTTTTGATGCAACTACGTCTACCACGTGTGAAGAAGATGTAGTGGTCCTGCGACAAAAGCACACAGTTTCGAGAGCGGACTGCGCATGCCCCCCGATACCGATTTCTTGTAGTAGTAGTGGTTGTGCGAATTATTTTTTGTAATCGCAAGCGACATGTTGATTTCGTGATTGTAGCATCGGAGGTGGGATAACTGGCGTTTACAGGGGGTTGGTGGGTTGATCGCGCCGATCTCAGACTGTACTAATCGTAACGTATCAAACTGGCACAGACAAAACTTCACCAAGGAAGGATAAGACCAGAGCCAATATTGTACACAGAACTTTACTGAAAGCCAGCGTGGCTCCTAAAGTGGTTCCACAGTCAAATCACAAAATCTTCGTGTACTACTATACTTACTAAAAAAGCTTGGGTATGGGTTAACTGCCTCGGTCGTGCGCAACTAGAAGAACTATGGGGAACTCGAAAACAGGAAGGGTGTAAAAGCGGGATCATCTCTTCTCTATCGGGTTCAGGGGTGCCTGTGAAATAAAATGAACGTCAGGTCGCGTTGGAGGACAACGTCGAAACAGAGCGAAATCCAAAATATGAGTGCAAATACAAACACTTCTGCAAGTAAACAGGATCAGCTTTTTCTCATTTGGTTTTTCTCGAAGTCGAAGGGACGAATCTTTCGTTTTTTGACATGATGAAGCGCGGTTGTTCATGATGCGCTTGCGCATTGTTCTGTTCTTGCGAACGGAGAGTAGAACGATGTCGTGGAAAAAACAAGCACGAACGACGACGAGAGCAATTGATTCCACAATTTTCATGGGAACGAGAGGCAAGGAACAAATACAAAGGACAACCGAATAAATCTGCGTAATATTATGCGACGTTCTCTGAAATAAAAGCCTGGGCAGAAAATTCGTTGCGAATAGAACGTGAACCTCCGCTACAACCTCCTACAAATTCCAAGCGCAACGGTCATCTTGATCGTTATCACTGCAACTGCTACTTTTCAATCTTTTGACATTTGCCTTTGAAAAAGATGAACAGCACGGGCTTTTCAGAACAGTGCTTCGAGAAGATGATCAGAGCGACATCAAAGCCATTCTCTCCAGCATAGCGCTTGTTGGTATTTTACGTTTTTTTCCGATCCAGCTCAAGCTTGCAGCGTACGTTAGAATAATACCAGTTGTTCCCGAAGATTCTCGTCCCTGTAAAAATCCGCAACACGGAAGATTCATGGACTAGACATGGTAAAAGCATTTCGTGTAAACAAAAGAGTGTAAGGATATTGTCTTGTCCGTCTGAGAATCCATTTATCATCAAGAAATGCGCGATAAATTTCTCAGCGGAGCGACGTGTGACACAGTGACAATGTGAAGAACTGCGATCGTGGGGTCATTTTGACATGATCTCTCTGGTGGGTTTGCATTTTTGTTATGGAAGGAATGCACAAGCACAAAATCTTGGTCTTATCTAGTTCCTGCCCGATGAAGCTACAGGATAATCGCTTCATCAATGTGCATTTTGATTCTTACAACTTCATGAAAACTACGAAGCGCAGTCATTTTTATTTTGACCAAGGAAAAATTTGTACAAACACCGATGCCTCCTTCGAGTTGGTACTATCCACCGTTCTTCTATGCGCCCCCGATTTTTCCCGCGGACGCGCGCTCCTTTTCTGCCGAGACCTTCAGGGAGTCGATCAGGAGGTCGATCTTGCCCATCCATTTTTCCAACACGTTGTCCAAGTGTTGCCACTCCTTCTGCCCGAATTTCCGCTGCAAGACGGACTGCACGGTCAAGATTTGCCTGACCTCGTCGATGCGGCCCACCAGCACATTGTAGTGCGTGGCCTCGATGATCAGATCGTCGACATCCTCGATCTTCAGCGCCTCCCGGATCTCCTTCAACGGGACCTCTTGCCTCCCCTCGCACAGACTGCACAAAGTCAGAACGCGGAGCTTGTTCTCAATGCAGGATTCGGGGACCTGGTGGAGTTCCGATAAGAAATTGTTTGGGGTATTTCAATAGCTATGTTGAGATATTTTGCGTCTCACTGTACTAGCTAACAAGAAGACCAGGAAATTGATTTCCAATTGTCCAGGTTGGCGGCGCCAGATACTACGTGCAAAAATCTATCAAAAAAAGGGGAATATTATACATCCAGCTCCTGCAAAAATCCGGTGTGTTTTGACTTAAAGGCGGCCAGGTCGGCAATGGTGCCGCTAACGAAGAGCTGCAAAAGTGCAACCATCTTTGCGACCTTGTCGTTGCTTTTGGAAGCCTTCTGCAGAACCTCAATTTCGAGGAGACCCTCGACCTGTGATAATTCAAATTTTCAAGGGAATCTATCTCGCAAAATGAATTGCTGCGAACAAAATGTTCTTGGAAAATCAGTAACAATTTCACTTTCATCTTCGAGCAGTTCCCGCTTCCGTCTGTTGTCATGCATCTATATGCATATTCTTTACATCGTCATCGTGATCGTCCTTGTGGTAAGATTGCAGTACCTCAAACACGCTTGGCAGCTTGATGACTTCTTGCACGAAGAGTTTTATCGCGGCGAGACTCCTGTCGTTGACTTCCGTTTCGTATCGCAGGTATTTCTCCAGCCACTGGAACGCGAGCTCCTCCGGCAGGGACGCCATGGAGAGCTTGACCTCGGGCTTCAGTTTCGGGATTTGCATGGCGATCAGATGGTAGAGCTCCTTCTTGTCTGCCCGCTATCCTGAGTAAAAACGTACCCACACCAGAGTCAGGATGGGGATTTATTTGCAACACAACCCTAGGAGTTTTGTGAGTCACGCATGACAAGCCACACAATGCAGTGTAGTGCAGGTTAGCAAGTGCAGCCGCATCACAGATTCATCTGCTCATCCTGTTCACAGCATCACAAATTCCAAAACACGATTAGAAATGGCTCTCATCGGGATGCGCGTTACAAGTCTTCCCGTCTTTGCAAATCTGCATTACAACTCTGGCGTGGGTACGTTTTTACTCAGGATACCTCCGCGTTGAAATCCTCATTGTCTTCCAGATGCTGTGCCCACGTGCTCATCCACGTTTCGAAATCATTCAGGTACACAACCATTTCCTGTTGATGGATAGTTTTTTTCTATATTCATTATCTATCTCTATCATGCATGACAAACCCACATAATCGATTCTCGGTATTGTATCATTACGCAACACAAACAATTGTTTGAATACGTGAAAGAGCTCGTTATCCGCTGCGAAGTTCAAGACGCCGAAGAAAATTTTCCTGGAGACTTCTGCTGCTACTATCCAAGGAAAGCACTGTGTTAGTCGTGTAGGCGTCTTGGAGTGACAGGATGACACATCTTTTGCTCTTCAAGACAGGGAAAATGTAGAACTGTCATACATGGCTAGTACGTGCTCGTGCACAGCACGCGGACATGGCAAGAGAATGAAAACTTCATTGGTGTGGTTTGCATGACAAGAACTGTAATCCCTATTCTTTTTGCAGTTTCTGCATCACATACTTAATACACGTAAACACAGTTTATTTTTTCTTGCATAGTTACTCCTGTGATGGGAATACTGTTGTATGTCTGCATCAGCATCTTCAATCGAAGCTGAGGGTATTCCTGTCCGGAAAGAAGCAGCTCGACGACCTGCGAACGTGAAGTGTTGTCAAATTCAAGAGAATGAAAATGGATATGTTACAAGTTGTAAAGTAGCAAAACAAAAAACTTCATCAAGCACTATCGTGCAATTAATGTCGGAGTAAAAACAAATTTCTAATGCACACCACGTCAAATAGGGCACAACTGCAGGGTAAAAAAAACCTAATATACCTTCGAAACTGCGGCTTGGAGTTTTGGGACGGTATCCATAGCATTCCCGAGCATGTAGATCAGCGTTGAAAAGTAGCACTCGATCTGTTATTTTGTTTTTCGTAAATAACTCTTCACGTGGGTGTAGTGATGCAATAGACATACAGCAGGCACTGCTCCAAGAGCAATATCTTGCACGAAATATCACGTCCTGGCCGTCCTACTAGTTGTAGAAAGCTCCAGTACTGCCATTCTGAAACTGAATGCACAAACCAGCACTGGAACAAAATAAAACCTGTTTATTGCCAATAAGCACCAACACACAGCATACCTTTTCCTGCACGCTGCCGATGCTGCTTCCCCCTACTCGCTTCTTTTCCTGCTGGGTGACGATGAGGTCGCATTGTTCCGCGAAGAGCTGGAAGATGGCGTACCCGTTGTCTTTCTCGATTTCCGAGACAAAAGACTGTTCAAACTGCTCGATCTTTGCGTCTGGCGTGTTGTTATCTTTCATCAGTTGCTGGATCATCCGAGCCACCGGGAACACGTCCTGGTTTTGGTCGTCATTGGGGGCAGCGATGATCTTCGACATGGCTTGGGGGTTTTATGCTTGAAGGAAGCTACAGAAAATACGTATGCACTACTAGAAAAAACGCGTAAAAAGAAAACACCTCCGGCGGTTCGTTGCAATTCATGGATATGCCTGATCAAGGCTTTTCTATACCTACGATAAGGACTTCTAAATGCACAAAAAGGCCTGTGAAAATAAATTCAAATTCAATGAAGCATTAGATTGGAAAACGGCCATCAGGTCGTGCAGGACAACAGCCCCTACACGAATATCGTATGCCAATTCATCAATTTCGTTCAGTAGTGCAGATCTCGCTCGCACTAGCAGGAATGAGCAGGATCTTTTTTCTTTCAACTTTCTTCTCGAAAGTGTTTTTTCGTTTGAGTATTTCTCTATGATCCTGTGCCTCTTCAGCCTTGCTTGTGCAGATCTGCTGGATGAAGTCTTCAATCATACAGCGTGTGTGATGTGATCATACCACCAGAAACTTCTGTTTACCACCTGTGCGGATCTTTATTTTTCAGTGAAATGAAAAGTGAAAAAGAAGAAGTGCGCACGCTTTCTGGGGAAGCTGTAGGATCTTGGATGCTCGACTTCGGAAAGGAAAAACGCACTGCACATGAGCGTGAACCACATGTTGAACAAGATTGATCGAAAAATATAAATAATTGCAGCCATCAAAGATATATAAATCGCTTGCGCTTCTCCGAAGATGAAAAAAACATTTATAGCTGTGACACTTCTTGGAAAGACACTGACACGGTGGGATTTCCACTTTCCCTTTATCTCCATGCTCTGAAATATGCTAATGCAGAAGCATGTCCGTAGTACTTGCGCATACGCGGTTTACTGGTTTCCGTCGGTTTTGGTTTTCTTTTTCTCTTATAAAAGAAACAACCCCGCCCAGCTCCGCCCGCTAAGCAAGGGCGTAAACTTGAGCTCGAGGAACTGCTTCCCGTTAGAGCTTGTTGCAATGGCGAATTGTATGCGTTAGGAGCTGCACGACGGAATCCCCGTGTATCCGCACTTCCAGGTGTGGACACGACAGTGCCAGGCTCGTCTGTCACCATAGCTGCGCCACTAAAATTGCTACCCCAATTATACCCCCCACGCACCTCCACCAGTTGCAGCAGGCGACTCGCCGTTGTCGAGACTGTACGGGCTAGGGCTACCGTATGTGGAGGCACCTTCCCCTCCGGAGCCTAAAGCATAGTAATGCTGTTCGGCGACCGGAGCAATATGCTGTTGGTGGTTGTATTGTTCGTACTGGTTCGACGGTGTGTAGGACGATGCTGCGCTTGGCGTCGGCGTTGCTGCCTGGCTATGATTGTTGTAGCCACTATAGCCAACATTGTGGTAACTATTATAGCTGCCCTGCCCCTGCTGCTGCTGGTCATAATGAAAATTATTATCATACTGCCGCTGTTCCTGCTCCCAGTGCTCCCGTTGCTGTTCCTCCCACTGCCTCTGTTGTTCCCGTTGGTCTAGCCACTTCAAGTTTTTTTGCAACATCCGCTCCGTCCAAAAGTTATTAAGAGGAAAAATCCCCCCTCCCCATATCGAAAAGGTATGCTTCCGGAAATTTGTGATGCTGATTTGCGACCTCAAATCACGTCTGTCTTGCAAGAAGGCAACTCGACAAGCTACGCAGCATTGTGCAGGCGGTTTGTGATGCTGATGGGCCTACAGCACGGACGTTTCTCATGCTAGACGCCTAGGCCAGAGCCTCTCTACTCAGGCTTAGTATGGGGCTGCATTCCTCTCCAGCAAGACAGATCTTATTTGTGTCCGCAAATCCTGCATCAGAAACTTCGTTTTGATATGGGGAGGGGGGAAGGGGATTTTTCCTGTTGATAAAAGTGCCGGTCTTGCACGACCCGAGCCTTGTACTTCTCGAACGTGCTACTGACGTAATTATCCACAGTAAATTTCCCGTACACGTACAAATGCAGTCTCTGCATGACAAAACTTGCCTTCAGTCCTAGTCTAGCATGACAAGTTGGACACTGCAAGTTAGCGAAATTTGCCATGCATTTTGTACATGTACGGGATATTTACATTGCATAATAATGGAGTGCATTCACCACCTCTTCCATTCCATACCCATCGTAGTGCTCCTGCAACACCGCGCGTCCCTTCGGCGAAAAGTCGCAGGGTCGAAGGTGGTCAAAGAGGTAAGCCTGCAGCTTTTGTAGCAGAGGTGCGGCCGCAGCGGATGAGGATGTCGTCTTGGCCGCGCCGTTCTTTCCCGACACAGTGACCGGCTCCTGGGGTCCGACGTTCAGTGTGGTTTTCAAGAATTCCTCGAAGCTGTCCTCTTCGTTCGAGGTTTCGGTCAGCGCAGACAGCATGCTGTTCGGCTCCTCGAGCTGGATATTCACATGACTTTCGTTGTTTGCTGCACTTGATTCTTGTGGTCTTGTACCACCAGCGGCGAGGATGTCCTCGACAGAAGCTGCTTGTGAATGATCGCTTTCCAGATCATGACCGTCGGCACGACAAGTTGTACTTGTTCCGTCTTGTTTGCTCTTCTGTTCTTCCGCTGCGAGAAGTAGTACAACTTCGTTCTCCCTTTTCTCTTCGTACCCCAGTAAAATCGCTTTCCGCACGTGCTCAAACAGCCCGCCTGACAACGTTTTCACAAAATTCTGGTCTTCTTTGTAAGAACCTCCCCACAAGGTTTCGTAAATGGCCCTCTCGTATCAAATGTAAAAATGTCTGGGTCTGGAAAAATGCACGTTTGTCATGCTTGTCTGGCATGACTCTTTAAATCTGTCATGCACGTTACCCAAGAGCTTCGTTTTTCTGTGATGCAGAAACGCAGTTTGTCATGCAGAATAGGCAACACCTGGAAGCTCAGAAACTTGTGATGCTGAGCCAGCATTTGTGGCCTCAGCATGAGACGCCACCCAGCATCACAAGTTTCCAGACATCCAGGGATTTTTACATTTGATATCTCGACTGCACTGGACCCCGCCAACGTTGCGAAGTCAATCAGGCTGCCCAGGTCCCGCTCCGGGTTCGCCTATGGATGTGTCAGGATCGAAATCGACAAAATTGAAAGATTTGCGATGCATAAAATGTAGGGCACTTCTGAAGGCCTGTATTGGGGAGCAGGCAAATGGGACCGATTGCAAGCCTCTTTAGGGGTATGCAATGCGCTGCCAGAGTAGCTGCACGACAGGAGGAGTCTTCTTTGCCCAAACAGCATGACAGACTGGATCTGGGTGCTCCCGAAATTTGTAATGCGCCACTTGGAAACTGAGGCTCTAACTGACATCGATTTTGTGCATCACAAGTTTTTCGATTTTGTCGATTTCGATCCTGACACATCCATATCGCCAATTTGCAGAGGATTCGCTCCACGGTGCGGATCAACACCGCGTTCTTGAACCTCTCCCGCTGTTCCTCCTGCAGTCTCTTCTCCCGCTCTTCCGGCTTTTCCTTACTCGTATTCGCCTCGAACATAGCGACGGCCCGGGACAAACCGACCACCCGAGACACGAACAAGGACTCAAAGTGGCGCTTCATAGCCAGCAAGTAAGACACGTCGACCGCGGCGTACGCGAGTAGAATTCCCTGCATGGGCCGCTCGGCCCAGACGTGGTAGCCGCCGCCGCGGCGGGGGTCGTAGAGAGCTTTCCCGCGCTCCTTCAAATCGGAAAACACGTCGCCGAGGTTCACTTCTTGATGGTGTGCGTTATTTTGCTGGAGGTTCATCTGTTCTTCTTCTTGCGAAGATTTTTCATGATGGGCGTTTGAAGAAGCTGCATGCTTTTCTGGTGGTACAACCTGGTGGTCGCGACTTGTTCTACTAGCGTCCTCGAGCAGATGAGGTTGCACAGAGTTCGGTCCAGGACTAGCACCGGAGCGGCCGGTCGTATGGCTACAACTAGGCGCAGGAGTTGTACTACTAGTCGCCTCATCAAAGTACGCCCCGAGCGCTTTGGGCAAGCCTTTCAGGTGTCGCGCGTAGTTTTGCCCGACCGACTCGGATATGCAGTGTAAAAGTATCGCACTCGTATAAATGCCAGACTAGCATGACAAATCTGGTTTCTTACGTATTTTAGCATGACAAACTCAATTTTCATGCTGAGGAAATTTGTAATGCATTTATACGAGTACGATACTTTTGCAGTTCATATCGGAGAGCAGGAACGAGATCTGCAGGTCGTACACGTTCCGCGGCATCACGCCGAAGTGGAAAAACACTGCCTCAAAGTCCTGCCGGCAGTCGAAGAGTACTTTTTGGCACTGCTCGCTCTCCAGCACGGTTTTCAGGTTGGGGTAACAAATGTCGTCGTCAAACGCCTTCTTCTGCAGCTCCACGAGGTCGACCAGGTAGACGGTTTTCTCCGTTTTCAGAGTCGTGGGTGGAGATATAGATATTGTCGTACTAGCGGTGTTGCTGACACAAGAACTTGAGGTGCTGCTTCCGGTGTATTCATGAATTTGGTTGTACACGTCGGGGTTTTGGTCCCTGTGAGCAGGGTCCAAGCAGAACGGCCCGTCTTTGATTTCCGTTTCCACGGTTTCCTCCACCATGATCTGCATCAGGCACACCTCGCCGGACTTTCCCAACTCCACGCCCTCGACGTCCATACCAAGCAGGCGGAAGGGCTCCTCTCGTGAGGACGATGCTGTTGCTAGCCCACGACCAGGGTCTTGATCTTCGGTAGTTCCTGTTCTACTTGTCGTATCTCCTTTTATTACAGAACGAACAGAGGATGAAGATGCATCACCTTCGGTCGTAACGGAGGTGGTAATCAAAGAACCTTTATTCTTGTCGTCCTTCGGCGAAGTAGATGTAGATCTAGAAGGAGTTGCCAACAATCTTTCCGCCAGCTTCTGGACTCCAATCACCGACCCCACCCAGACTATCCGCGGCAGGTGAGCGCGCCAAATTTTCTCCTGCTCAGAGATCTTTTGCCTCTCCGCCTCCGCATCGAGGAGCTCAGAAGATGCAAAAGCGCCATTTGGCAAGTTTGCTGCAGCTGCACCATTCAGCTGCACCCTTTTCAGCAGCTCATCTGTCTTTCTCCTGGATTCCGGGGAGTAGGGCAAAAACCCGCTCGAAGGATTATTTGAAGATGTAGTCGTTTCCACTCCTGCTCTTTGTCGTTGATGCGCCGACGTCGTCGAGGAAAAGTCGCGCAAATCCAGTTTCTTCGGCATCGGCGGTCTCTCGAATTTCGGGCTCTCGAGCTCTTTCCCGGTTCGACGATCGATGATTTTGGCGAAAAAAGCCGCGTGAAGAAACCCCTTCGCGTCTCCGGGCGTTAGGAAAACCCCGTTGCGCGCCTGAAAAAAACGGAGTCCCGCCTTCAGCGCCAACGCAAAATCCACACAAATGATCGCGTCGCAGTCGTCGCGCATGCCGGATATTACGGTTTTTGTGGTTGATGGGGTGGGTGCTGTTGAGGTAATCATTTTCGACGTATTACTGGAGGTCAACGCAGACGTTGGCTTTGTTACGATTTGAGAACGTCCTTCATGGCCTTCGGCTGCAGCACTAGCAACAGACGAGTCCTCGGGCTTCATCTTCTCGGTAGGGGGCTGAGCCTCTTGATGAGGTGGATCTGCTTCTTCTTTCACCTCCTCGTCCTTCATCTTGAAAAACCCCAGATCTTCCTCGTCTGGGCTATCTCGTCCAGAAGATGACTTGGCAAAGAAGTGAATGTGCTGCCTGGACATTCGGGAAAGACCACCGGAGGATAAGATATCCGGAATGACGGCGAGGTAGGTTCCGTGGTAAAGGAGGGGGGTGGAAGACGAAGTAGCTGTTGGGGGCCCGTTCTTGCTGCTGCTTGGTACCACATCGTTCTTTTCGTTTTCAACACCAGCACCGCGAGGGGCTACCTCTGATGAAAAAGCGGAAAACACGGGCGTCATCAAGGCTTCCTCGTTGATCATGTGGTCCGGCAGGCTGTGGCCCTGCACAGCTCGGACGAACCAAGCGTGCTGCTGGTCTTTTTCACCTCCACGACCTCCCGCAGCAGTAGGAGCGTCGTCATCTTCTTCGCCTGGAGGTCGTGCCTCTTCATCTACATTTTCTTGCCCAAGAACATCTACGACTTCTTCCCGGTGCAGCAGCTGAAACCGCTGCTTGTCATTGTGAACGCACACCCAATAGAGCTCCTCGAATGTCAGAGGCACCACGACCGGAGGAGCTGTGTCTTCAACCTTGTTCTGTGTGAGATCCGCATTCGTACTAGTACCCGCCGTACTGGTGACATAATTTTGTGTCTTGCTTGTTTGCTGTTCAACTTCAAGCCCTTTGGTCGTTTTAGTTCTACTAGCACCACTTGTACTAGTACACCTGACTATCTCCGGCATACCCAGGAAGCCTCTGTAGCAGTCCAGTAAGTGTCCGCAGTGCACATACCCATCTTTTGAAATCTTCAGCTTCTGCCGGTCCGCGCGGTGTCTCAGCGTGGCGGTAAGTTCCCTGCTCACCCATTCGCCTCGGCCTTGCGGGATCTTGTTGTACGCCGATCCGCGGCCCGCAGGGGTGTAAGCGGTGATGGAGAGGGAAACTAAAACTATTTGTATTTTTCCGGCGTGCTCTCGTGCGTTATTTGTTTCTGCACCATCTTCACAGCCCGACACAACAGTCCACTCCGCCTGCTCGGGCGGGCAGTAGACTTTTGCGCCGTTCACGTAGACAAAAGCCTCGGATTCCGGCACGGTAGTCGTAAGGATGGTTTTTGTCGTGATAGACACATCCGGGCTGCTCGGCGCGGAGAGCGGTTCTTTCACAGGAGCACTCGAGGTGGTGGAGGACATCAAAGCAGTCGTACTGTCAGTAACAGTGTCGCTCGTGGTGGTACCTTTGCACTGCACGCAATCCTCGAGTAGCTCCCACAGAACGAACTGTTGGTGTTGATTTTGGGGACCAGGTTTTACTTGTGGCGTTCTTTTAATATCATCTTCTTCCGCACGGGGACAGGAACTGCTTGACGCTGACGAGGAGGAGGCAGCAACTTCTAGTACTCCTGCCGGTCGTACGGACTCTGGCTCTGCCTGCCTCGGTATTTCCTCATGATCAGCTAGAACAATCTTGGCCTCCAGGCGGTACGGGTACTCGTGGTAGGCTCTGGATCCACTGCTGTACAGCCACTGTCCCGTGAGCGCAGATTGGAGGCGATGGAGGAGCAATGGATCAGGAGGCTCCTGTGCTGGTGAGTGCTGGTCCGTGGCGTTGGAAGTAGAACCGTTAGCCCTGCTTGAGGTGGAGGAAGATACAGATACTGCAGTGGCGTTAGTCGTTTCTGGTATCGTCTTCACCGCACAGATCTGCACCCCTGCGTGACTCGAATGGCGCCAACTCAGCGACGGACCGATCATCTTTTGCTGCCTACTTTTTATTGCAGGTGTGACAGGGCCCTGAGGCTCTTGCGAATCAACTGGACCTTGATCGTTTTTAGTTGCGGAGGGCTGGTTGGTACAACCATTGTTTCCTGGCGCGAAAGAACGCGAAGATCTTGCTCCGACTTCTATGGCAGTACCAACATGCTGTGGCTCCTGTGCAGGCGCGGCATCTTCAGACACGACCCCAAGAACGTTTGAAGATGTCGCCCCAAGAACGTCTTTCCGTTCAACCGCCGCAAACCTTCGCGACCACTCAGCCACGGCCTGGAACTCTGGCGTGTTTTTTTTCGGTCTTGCTACCCTCCCCGTCGACTTGTAGCACTCAGCGTCCGCTCGGTGCAGGAAAAGGCCAAAGATCCCGGTAGTACGTGACTCTGCATACATCACGCCGGAACTTTTCGCCACTTCCTTTAGCACCGTCCGCTCGCCAGTGTTCAGGTGGCGGCTTGGGGGGAAAAGGTAATGGATGATCTTCGGTGCTTGTTGATCTTCGCCAATGCATTTGCCGTTGTCGGTTGATGTTCCGGCTGTCTCCGGAGGTCCTCTGTGGTCATCTTGCTGCAGCTTAGGCTTCAGCTTGTTTTCATCTTTTTCGTCTCTTCCTTGCTGCAGCAGGCGGCTGCATGTCGCCTTGATTTCTTCCCGGAAATCCGTCATGATATTTCTATCGTGCTCCGGAGTGAATTTTTAGAATTACTACACGTTATAGGTCGGGTGAAACTGGAGCCGGATGAATTGAATGGTAAAGAAGTACGTCGCGTTCCGCCGAAGTGAAACTAACTACATAGTTGCTAAGCGTCGATCGAGTTTAGAAAAAACTACTTAAAACAGCAGCAAAACGAATTTTGATGATGAATGTCGCTGAGATTTCTGTACACGCTGTTTATCATGGCCAGGAACAGGATGTGGTGACCGCTCTTTCGAAGTAGAGGACTTTACTATGAGGCGAACTACATCTTGTAGGTGCCGTGCAAAAAGTGTTGTAGTGCTAGGCCAATTTTTTCTGTACCAAGATCTACTTCTGGAGATCCTCATTTTCAACCAAAAAATCTAGCAAGTCAGATGAGCTCCAGCACCGGTCGACGAGGGTCTTCACAACTGTTGCAGCCACGATCGTGAGTTGTTGGTGTGCGGAGGTGCAATCTTCATCACAGTGCGATCTTCTCACTCTTGTTGTTCGTCGAAGATGATCTCGTTATAGGGAAGAACAAGACCACCACCCTTTGAATTTGATGGAAACGATGTAGACCAAGCAATCTGAAAAATCCACACGACGACGATGCCGAGAGGCAGAAAAAACAATATGGCGCAACCTTCTTCGGTACTGTAGTAGCTACCAAGGTTTTTCTGCCGAGAGGCAGAAAAAACAAACACTGAGGAGCTGAGAAGACCACGAAATCAGAGAGTCAATGCGGTACGAACAAAGTATTGTATTCATTTTGATTTTCATGAGATTGTTGACAAGAAAATAACAGGACTCTTAACGTCAGCAGACGTCCAACCACCTGCAGAGTTTGTTAGCAGTGGGAATTTTGCTGAAAGTGAAAGAATGCAGTATCTATTTAGCTCGTTCATCATCATGTATAGAAGATGAGGCCGCGCACCCACAACAACTTGCCGCACTACATGTTGCGGGAATTCATTTTCACGACCCAGCAACAGTACGACTTGTCGTGTCATCAGAAGTCTTGTCACCAAAACATGATCACACTTGAAACGGGTGTTTGTTCCTGACTACTACGGCTTTCTGTGGTCTGGTTCGACTGATTCTCAGCAGCACGAATCGTGCTCGACGTCGACATGATTTTGCAAAAGATCAAATAAATCCTAAGCAACAAGAAGAAATACCCAGAAAGATGGTATCACACTCAAAGCACTGCTCGTCCGAAAATGTGTTCAGAATGCTAGCGTCAAGAGTAAGTAGCTTGCATTTAACACTGTATCACGTCGTTGTCGTAGTCGCAACTAGTAGAGTTATGCGTGATATCGACGTCGCGATTAATGCGAGTTCACGCACAAAAGCGGGAAGCCATAGAATTAGAAAGTAGAAGAAAAAAATCAGTCTAAAAGCAAAAACAATGCTATTGATGAGATCTAAATAGGTAATTGACTCGGAGCACCCGCGAGCTGTGAAGACAATCACAATTATACCGCCTGAAGAACCAACTCCAATGAGGTTTTGATGTCAACAAGTCATTAGTGAGACGGATGGCCATTCGCCTTTGCTCATGATCTATATCTTTTTTGTGGATCATCATGCATACACATTCGGAAAGTCTGTCTCTGTCTCTCTGTTCTTCGAGAAAAAAAATCACAATGTTGAGATCCAAACGCCTTGTTCGCTTTCCCCTTAGATCATCGTTCTGCGTCTTCTACAATATAGTTCTTTCCAGATTCTACATCGGGTTCGGGACTGAGCGAGGAAAAGCGTTTCTTTTACCACATCAAGGCGATAAGTTGAGAAATCAACATTGGGTTTTGGAAATCAAAAATTCGCTTCGACGAAATATCTTTTTCCAACACTCGCTGATGTAGGAGAACAGATTCCTCACGGCAGCGGCTGAAGCATCTCTGGGGGTGCCAGTGCTTTAGAAGAAAGCGCAGAAAGCAGGGTGCTGTGCCCGTTTTCAAATTGAAGACGGGAACAGTGCCTTGCTGCTCGTTACGATTAACTCAGCCTCCTCGACTTAGCTGGTTTTTTCTACTATCGCTTTTGTTTCTCCGACCGAGCAAAAGTAGGCAGACCTCACCTCTCTTCTGTTAATTTCAATGGTCACTGCATTTGTCCTAACAAGACAGACATTCACGAGCCTAGTAATCCTCACACTTGAAACGGGTGTTTGTTCCTCACTACTACGGCTTTCTGTGGTCTGGTCTTCGCGCTTTTCGGTGACCTCGAAGCGGATGAGCCGGCAGTCGAATTTTTGTACAACTTTCCGTCTGTTGCTGCAGCGGCGCCAAGGGCGAAATTAGTATCCGGGTGCGGCATTTGTTGCGCCGCGGCCATTTCATTTGAAGATACCACGTTGGCTCCTGCTGTGGGTTGCTGATATTGTTGCTTTGCTTTTGCACCTTTCATCGTCGGGTGAGGCAGCGGCAATTCCAGATTCTGTTCAGCTGCGGAGGTGGAGCCGCCACCAGCACCTGCGGTCGTGTAAAAATACGGAGGCTGCTGCTGCAGACCACCGCTCGACGAGTCGTGTGATGCTACCTGGTCGGAGTCGGAAGCCCCTGCTGCGAGAGGGAGTTCAGCAACTACGCCAGCGGTTGTTGTTTCACCGACATAATTTAATGCTCCAGGAGCGGCCCCACCCCCGCCCTCTTTCTGATGTTCCTCCCCGCCGATAGAAACTTCCTGCAGCCGGTATTGCAGAGACTCGATCGTCATCTGCGACTTGTTGATAGCATTCATGCAGGCCTCAATCTGGGCGTGAATCGAAGCAATCTCATGTCTCCGGGTTCGTGACCTGGAGCTCGTCGCCCGACTCACGGTGTTCATCTTCGTACTCTGCGACGTTTGATGTCGTGGCCCACCTCGCTCTGGCAGTACCTCTGGCGCTTCGTGCTGGTGCTGATGTGGTGGGGCTCCTACACCCGCTCGTGGTCCAGGGGAGCCTTGCACATGCTTATGCTGCTGCTGCATTCGATGCTGTGATGAAGGAGACTGATGCGGCAAACCTGCGACGTTGTCGTGAAGACTAGCTGCAGCTTTATATCCCGCCGCGGGGCCCGCAAAAAGTGATGTCCCGTCGTCGGAGAAAACGGGGCTGAGCGGTTCCGGTTCGATGGGCATTTTGGTGGCAAAATTTGCCGTGTTCGGGGGCGAGTTCATCACTTTCGGGCGGCACGACGAAAACGGATTTCGCAGGTTCTCGTCGGAAATGTGCGCAAACTCGGTTTTCAGCGCTTCCTCCTCCCCGGTTGGTTTGTGGTTGGTGGCGGCTAGTAGATTATTGCTTTGCAAGTGATTATTTGCAGCTTCTGCAGCAGTTCCAACATCCGTAGCACCAGGATGTTGCCCACCACCACTCCGCGCCGGATCTAGTACGTGATCTACTTCTCCCCCACTTCTTGGCTCTTGCTGGTCCTGCGTTGTACTACTACTGCCTCTATACGCATTGGGTTCGTCCATTTCCCCCGCGCCCGCACCATTCAGCGTCCACTGAAGCGAGTTGTCATAGTTTACCACCCGTTGGTCCGGGCTCGTGCTGCGCGTCTGGTTTATGTTGTTACTGCCCATCTCCTGCCACCAGTGCCGGTGTTGGGACTGCTATCCTGTGCAAAAGTATCGCACTCGTAGTGAAAATTGCAATCATGCATTACAAATCTTGTTCCCATGGCAAATCTGCATTACAAATTTCATTTCTCATGCTGAGGAAATTTGTAATGCATTTATACGAGTACGATGCTTTTGCAATTCATAACTGCTTTCCGCGAGCGAATTTCTGGTCCACATTGTACTTCGGCGACATGGACATAGACTGGTTTTGGTTGTACTGTGGCTGGGTGTAGGGATTCATCGGGTTATTTTGGTTTTGATTCTGCATTTGGACGAGTTGCTGATGCTGCTGTACCGCCGGACTGTGATTCATCTGCTGGTGCTGCTGGTGGTGCAACCCCCCGCCTCGCAAAACCGGGGACTGGGAAGAAAACTGCCGCTGTTGTTGGTCTGCTTGCGGGGGTCCAGCAGCAGGCTCCTGCACCAGGTAAGGATTGTAGTTGTCCTGGTAGGTCGTGGTAGGCGAAAGTGGATGAAGATGTTGATCTGCTGGTGGATATTGAGGGTCAAGAACACCGGTAGTCGAATTGCAAGGCGGCTCGCCAACAACTCCACCTCTATCCGGCATGCTGTGTCCCCACTTGTCGCTGATCGCTCTTCTCCTCGCCTGCTCCGCTTCGTAAGCGTTCGCTGCCTGAATGTACCGCGCTTCCTGCTCGTACCTGTGCCGCGCGCTCTGCTCCTTGTACTGCTTTTCCCAGAGAATCTTCTCCTGCTGCGAGCGAAACTGATAGTTGTTCACACCTTGTTGCTGCGGACTCAGTTGCAGGTGCGGTGGTTGCGAGTGGTTCTGATTTTGATTTATTTGCGGATGATGTGCAGTATTAGCTGCATTTTGGTGTAATGACTCTCCAGGAAGCGGTACGGCGACGGTCGTTGTGTCTTCGTTGTTGCCCCCGCCCGCACCGAAATTGTTCGCTGAGCTACTCGTGTAGTCGTCCTCATCTGAGTCCAAGTCCGACCGGGAACTGCTGCAACTGTCGTCCTCCCCATCCTCGCCGACTTTCAAACTCAGCAGAGTCCGCTTCGTCTCCTCCAAGCAGCGCAGCTGCTCCTCTTGCTTCGCACGCTCCTGTTTCAGCCGTAAAAGCTTGTTCTGGATGTTCTGCAGGTCGCGCGCCACCTGCTCCTGCACCTTCCTCTGCGCCTGCTGTTCCTGGTGCTGGTGCTGGCCTGCGAGACCACCGGGCACAGGGGGTCCGTGCTGGTGTTGCTCGCGGTGGTTGATGTTGCTGTTCACCTGGTTGTCTATTTTTCCCGCTGCGCCTTTATTGTTGTTGCCTTCCTGCTGTTGGTCACGATCGTTGCCTGGCGGCCCTCCGGGTGCAGCTCCAGCAGGTCCAGCATTTGGTACTACCTGTCCACCAGCTGCACCTCCCGGCCCGCTTCCCCCGCCCCGCGGCGCTACCAGCTGCCCGAGGCCCAAGCTCGAAAACTGGTCGACGTACATGGCCTGCAGCTCCTGTCTCTCAGCGCTGTCGTAGGAACTCCCGCAAACCACCATTTTGATCATGGTTTTGATTTTGCGCCGGATGATCGGCAGGTGCAGCATCTCGCTGATGCTGGGCCGGTGCTGCGGGTTCACGGACAACAGGGATTTTATCAGCGTTTGGATCTCCTTCGAGCACTTTACGTTGTTCGGAATCGGGGTGAACTTGCCCTTCAACACCTTGATATGGCGTTCTCAACTGTTACATTCTCTATTGTTACATGGATTTGTGATGCAAGAATGGGAAAAGTGAAAAGGGGGCACTGCGCGTCTTGCATGACAGATCTGGCGCAGATTATCAGCCTGCTTGGCCCTTCCAGAATTTGCCATGCAGAGCAGCAGCTTGATCCTGTAGATGATAGAGATAGTGGTAGTTTTGCATGACAAATCGTGTGACAGTTGAGAATGTAACGTTTGAGAATCCCATACTTGACCGCCAGCCCGTTCAAGCTGTTGGCGCCGAACGCGTGCTTCCCGCAAATCAGCTCGTACAACACGCACCCGATGCCCCATATGGGATTCTCAAACGTTACATTCTCAACTGTTACATGATTTGTCATGCAAGAACAGCAATAGGGAAAGGGGCCGGCTTGCAATTCTCGCATCACAAATTCGACACAGATTTAGATGTTGTTTAGCCCTTCGAGAATTTGTCATGCGAAGCAGCTTGATGGTCTGGCGGCTCATGGTCAATTTGCATGACAAATCATGTAACAGTTGAGAGTGTAACGTTTGAGAGCCCCATACCCCAGATGTCCGACTTGTAGCTGTAGGAGGCGTTCTTGAACACTTCGGGGGACATGTAGAAGGGGGTCCCGATCTGCGTGCGGGCCAGGTAGTCCTTGCTGCCTTCCAGCACCTTGGCGATCCCGAAGTCCCCGAGTTTGATCATGCGGTAGTGGGCCGGGGGGAGCGCGACCAAGTGGACCGCAGCACTGTGCGGGTTTTGGTGTTGCTGGGTCTGCTGCGCGGCGGCCAGGATGCCCGAGTGGAGAAAGATGTTCTGCGTTTTCAGGTCCCGGTGCAGAATGCTCCGCGCGTGCAGAAACTGCACGGCCGCCACGATCTGAATCAGCCAGTCAATCAGCATCGGCTCCTCGGCGGCGGACTGGATGGGCTGGGACTTTCGGTTTTTCTGCAAGTACGTGTACAAATCACCGGAATCGCAGTACGCCATCAGAATGCAGAGGTGGTCGCCGTGGAGAAAGTTGTCCCGGTACGCGACGATGTTTGGGTGCCGAATTCCCGCGAGCAGGGCCACTTCTTGCTCCACCTGAGAGTGTCAAAATGATCGTGTCGGAGGTCGACCACAGATTTTTGTTTTTTCCCACATGCAATTTTACGAAATTATGTCCAGCACCTGCCCCTGCGTCACTTGGATTTGCAGTGCATGACTGCGACGAGTATTGATGTGACAACTTCGCAAGAACTCCTAACTTTAGCAATACAGAATCAAGATGAACTTCTATACGCTGTCCCTCTCCTTCTCATCCAGTGTCGCAACGCTGATCTTCTTCAGCACTGCGGTACTCCCCGTAGCTTCCTCCTTCACGACAAAAATCTGGCCGAAGGAACCCGAGGCAAGCGGGCGGATCACTTGGTAGCCTTCCATGATTGTTTGATATTCAAGTTGAGGAAATGTCTGAAAAATGTACACTTGTGCTTCTTCAAGAATATTCCCTGACACTGATTTGCCCCTTACACACGACGGGATGTTCGTGGAATTCCTTCGTAAATATACTTACTACAATGCGCAACGACTGCACGACCGGAACGCTCATCAAAAACTGCCGAGACAAACGAAGATAACGAGGACCGTCAAGCTTCAATAAATATACCTAAAAGATTCATTGACTCACTTTCTCGTTCCGCTATGGTCACAGCTCTGTAGTTGTCCTCACGGTACGAAGAAACAATAACCAAGAAAAACAAGTACGCCGTGGCAGGTCCACTAGCAGAAGGGAAAAAACAAAGATCGCCTTCGAAGTTGTGTCAAAGCTGTCTTCATCCCGAAAAGCTAGAAGAAAAAGCGGCGAGTCAGTCCTCGTCCCTCTGCAGGACCCCACTCGCAACTTATCATCTTTATCACCCTGACCCTTCCCAATGAAAGGAACGAAAACTACAACTAGCACCCGACTCTCACAACTCTTAAGAAACAATGAATCTACGACGCACGACAAGGACTAACATGTCTATTCTGGGCGTCCCAATCCAAACCCAAACAGGATAATGCTGCTGTTTACTGTTCCTGACGATTAACAGAAACAATCCCTCTCTCTCTTGCAACCTGCTCACACACTTAATCGAGATTCGCAGCTCTATCCCATCAGGATTTTTGTGGCGGGCGAACGCAATGCCAATGCAAGAAGCGCTTCGAGGACCACATCAACATCATGTTGAGGATGGGCGGACCTACAACAACTTCTGACTGTCGTAATCTTCTCTCTTTCATCCGCGGAAACTTCTTTCGAAGCATGAAGTCGCTAAAGATGGGTGCGAGAATTATGGACCTAAACACGCTCCTCTCCCCGCCTTGATGATCAAAAACAAAAGCTTGTTGTGCCAAAACTCGAAAAATACAGTGCAGTTCCAGAGAATTTTGCTTTTTTTTTTCCATTCACCCTATACTTTCGAGAAAATCTACCTCGCCGAGAAGGCTATAGAGGTTAGAAAGCTCTAGCTCCCAAAGAACACGACTAGAACTTGACCTTCAGCTTCGGCTGCTACAGTAACACTGATCTAACTTCACACCTTGTTCATCGCGGCTGTGGGCGTGACTAAACCCTGCACAGCACCCCGTGCTGCGAGCGGTGCTGCTGCTGGTGCGTGATTATCATCCGCCAACTTTGAACTCCTACGCAAATCCTCGTCCGTGATCTCATCCTCTTCTGGAATGTCGCTTTCCGTTTCGTCTTGCTGCCGCGCGAAGACCTCCCGCAGCTCCCAGGTTTTGTCGGTTTTCTGCTTGCACAAACTATCCATCTCCTTCACGTACGCAGCATCGTACTCGGACACCGGTAGAATTTCCATAAACTTCTTCGCTTTATTCTTCTGATCCGCGAGGAGGAAGCCGGCGGTGCCCAGCTTGTTCTCGTTTTTGCTATCACCTCCACGAGCCCCCGCCGCATCTACGTCTCTAGAAGCACCCGCCCGACTGTCCCGGTTTCTGGCGCTCTTGCCGCCACCGCGACTATCGCCCCGGGGCCGCGGGTCGTCCTTCGCAGGATCACCTCTGCTCTCCCGTCCCTTCCTGGGGGAAGATTTATTTTTGCCCCCTTTATTCGACGTCTGCTGGTCGTGTTCCTCGTCTTCTTCTTCCCCCTCCTCCTCGTCGTTAATATACGAAACATCCAGCAGACTCGCGAGCGGGTTTGCCAAATACCGGTCGCAAAACAACGCGCACGACTTCTTCCCGTTCTCTTCGCGCGACAACCAGGACAGCAACAGTTTCGAATTTTCAAAAAAGTCATTCTCCCGAAACTCGCCCTTGTTGGCGAGAAAGCAGTACGCGGCATCCAAATTCGCCGTCCCGTCCGCACAGTGCTCGTGGAAACAGAACTGGCGCAGAAAATTCAACTTTTGCTGGTTTTCCAGCCGCTTGACGAGGGCAGCGGTGTCGTCGTCCTCGACGCGTGGTCCTTGTACAGCTGGAGTTGTGTCGTTCCTTCGTTGCACCATTTTCAGCTCTTTCAGCAGCAGCTCCTTCTCCTTCTGAAACAGTTCTAGCATGGTGGTCATTTTCTTCGCGAAAAGCGGCGACTTTTTGTTCGGCAAAAACGCGACCAGTTGCTTTTCTTCGAACAAAAACTCAAACTTCCCGCCTCGGTGCAAATAGTCCCCCTCCTCGTCGGAAGCTAAGCTGTTCAGACTCGTCCGTCGTTTCTCTTCATCTTCGGCTTCGCTGTTGCGCTTCTTCTTGGTTGATGTAGCGGTCCCCGCTGCGTCGTCGATGTCCATGTCAGCGGCGCCCGCCGCGGAACCCGCGTTATGATCCACGGACTTGCGACTTTTGTTGGCGAATTTGGTGTGAAACCAGTCCAAGAGTTTGACGTAGTCCTCGTTTTCCTTCTTCGGCTTGCCGTACATCTTCCGACACGCGTAAATCCGCATACAAAAGTCCTCATCGTAGACCGCAATCAGTTGGATTTTCGCAATCGTTGCGGCGCCACCCACGTTGATGTCTTGGGCGGTAAGGTTGTTCATCAATGAAGACTGGTGGAAGTCGCGCTCGTCTTTTATCAGGTGATGAAGATCCCAACTATGCAATACAAATTTCCCGTGCACGACGTACGAAACGCATGACAAATACTTTCGCCAAGAACTATTCACAGCACGCCGCTTGTATGTAATGCTGAGTAGGTGGATTCTTGAAGGAAAGCTTTTGATGCCTTGATGTCGTGCAGAGGCCGCCTAATTCTAATTTGTACGTGTACGGGAAAAATAAATTTGCTGTGGGTCATACTCACCCGCAGTGGTCCTTCCAACTCCGGCACCAGCCGCACTGTTCCCGATTCCCCCGCCAGAAGGTCCGCCACCATTTCCGCTACTGTACTTCAACTTTTGCTCGAAGTAGTCCACCACCTTGTTGTCTTTCACAAACACCTTCACGTAGTAAGTCTTCCTCGCGTCCAGGAAATGCTCCTCGTCGATTGCAGTCGTCGTTGCCGTTGCGGTTGTAGAAGTTGCGGCCGGATTCGATATTTTTCCATTTTCATTTTCTTTTTCATTTTTCACCCCCGTCGTTACTGCTGTCTGTTGCTCTACTCTCGGGGAATTATTCGTCGGGCTAGCACCACTGAGGAGAGTAGTCTTATTCATTCCCGTGGTCTTCACATCTCTCGTCGAAGAGGAGGCTCCTCCGTGCGGACTGCTATCACCACTGCTGGCCAGAGGTCGCGTTTTCCGGACCTGTCGCACCCAGAGGCCGTTGAGTAGTTGGTTCCGAAAACCGTAGGCGACGAAGTTCCGCACGTCTCCCAGGTGCACTTGGTCGTAGAGAGATCCGAGTAACTGAAGATCATCTTCGTTGGCTTCGGCAGGAAGATTTTTGTTACTCGACTTCGTTTTGGTTTTCTTCGTCTGCTGTTCTTCAGCTTTTTTGAATTCTTGCTGCAGCTTCTCCAAGTCGATAGTTTGCTCCAGATACGCGTCTTCGACGTCCACTTGGCCCGCGAACTGCTCCTTCGGCCGCATCACAAACGCGAACTTCTCCTGCTCGACGACTTGTTTGTGGGAGGCGGTAGTAGTATTGTCCTTATCTTCCTTCTTCTTCATCTTCGCAGGAGACGGCGCGTGGTTGCCGCCTCTCGCTCTCGTCGGGCCTTTGTTGACATAAGCCTCTCCCGCAGCTGCCCGGCGTTTTTGCTTCGCCTGGTTCGCAATTTCCTCCGCCTCGCTGCTGCTGGTGTCAAATTCGTACAGTCTGATCATGCTCTCTTCTGTAGTTTTCGGGTTCTTTTTGCTGTCTCGCGTGGTCGTGTGTGTTCTAGTTCGGTGGTCCCTAGTATCCCTTTTCGTCGTGGTTGCTCCACCTTTAGGATCTTCCCTGGCGGCCCTCGTGGTCCCTTCGTCGCGTCGGCCATCGTCGCGTCGGCCATCATCGCGACGGCCAGACCGCTCCCGTCGCGACCCGCGCGGCCGATCAGCATCTACAGTGGTCGCATTTCGGGTGTTATCGCGCTCTCGGTCCCGCTGCCGCTCGCGGTCTCGGATATCCTCAACCTTGGACGAGTCACCGCCGCGTACGTGATCTCCCCTCGAAGATGTAGTTCCACCCACAGCCCGGTCTCGCTCTCGCTCCCGTTCCCTTTCTGCAAGGCGCGGCCTCTGCACTACGTCCTCGCCGCGACCGTCTCTTCTATCCCTGCTGCGGCGTTCGCGCTCGCGCTGGCGATCGCGATCCCGATCGATCGGCTGATGTTGTCCTCCGCCGCGGCTGCGGCTGCGCCGCTGGCGTTGACGCTCCCCAGACCGCGCACGCCGGGCCGCAGCCGGGCGCGGGATGGAGGGAGATTTCGGTCGATCTTTCTCGTTTCCGTGGGCGCTGTTGCCTGCTCCTTCTTCCTGTTGCAGCTTCGCAGCTCCAGTTGTAGTAAAAGAGCCCCCGCCGGCGCCTCCGAGCGGGATATCGTTTGCACCCGTACCTGCGCCCCCGCGCTTTTTCCAGTTATGTTGCAGCCCGGTCGTGGTACTATTTCCGCTGCTAGCAAACGCAGAGTAATTCAATTTCTGCCGTCCCTCTCCCTGCTGCTCATTGGTCTCCCGCGTAGGAGCTTCCTCCAGCATGACCGGCGGTGCCGCTTCCTTCATCATGCGCTTGGGCTTGGGGGCAACCACGGCGGGGGGCTGGTCGTCCTTTACATCCTCCGGGGCCACGACTTGGACTTCTTGGACTTCTTCCGGTGGCGCCGCTTCCTTCATCATGCGCTTCTTGGGCCGCGGAACCACAACATCTTCTCCTGTGGCCGGCTGTGGCGATGACGCGGCTTCAGCTTTAATTTTGGCTTGCTTGTGGTCTTCCTTTTCGAGACTTTCTACAGCTGCTGACCCTGCTGCTGTGGCGTTAGCCTTTTCGACGACGTTTTTGTCAGTGTCGCCTTCGTCGTGTACGGGTTCTTCGGGCGGCGGCGCCTCGCGCATCATCTTCTTTGCGCGCGGCACGATTGCTGCGGGTGAAGACGACGTTCGCTGCGGGGACGAGGGCTGTGAACGCTTGCCGGACGCGCGTGGATCATACATCCCGTCCTTCTCCTTGTCCGCTCGCGGGTCGTACATGTCAGTATGACAAAGAACAACTATGTGTTTCCCTCTCGCCCCCCTCATAATTTGTGATGCAAAATACAAAGAACAAGAAGCCCGAGCCCACAACCAGATCAACATCTTCAAAAAAAATTCGGAAGCAGCTTCGAAAGTACTACAGTCCTTGTATTATATGCAAGAAAAGCCAAAGCGACACTTCATCTTCTCCGTCACCTTCTGCAACTGCATCTGCCGTTGCGTGTCTTTCTTCTCATGCCCTGCAAACGAGGTGAAAGGGGAAACAGAGGTTTGTGCACTTTCATAATCAGGCTCGTTGTTCTCAAAATCGTACTCGTCGTCTTGCTATGCATTTCAAAAGTATGATCATGCTCGTGGAAATTGCTGTTAGTAATGGTATTGCAAGCATGTATGCATGAAAAAAGTGTCAAGCTGAGTCAGCATCTATACCTTCTACAAATGAGAAATTACACCATCATACCAAGAAAATCTGTAGTGCAATTGCCACTAGTACGACATTTTTGCAATGCGTACTTGATTCGGCTGCAGATCAACGTTGACCCGCTGGCGCTGGTTTTTGTTTTTCCCATCAGGGCTCATGTCCTCGTCCGGGGCGGGTGACGCGTGCTCACCCTCGAACCTCGGAGCTGGTCCTTTGGCGGTCGTCCCGCTCTCCTCCGGCAGGATCTCCTGCTGCTCCGTCAATTTCGACGTGTCCATCTTTTCCAGTTTTAAATCCTACTGTTTCATGAATTTGCGAGGAACTACTAGTACGCGCTGAGGCTAAGGGACAAGGAACATGATCGGTCGACGTTGGTATTAGTGGCGAGGAATGTTGTTGTTACATACAATGTCGAACAATTACAACACCGCACTGCAATCACAATTCCATACCGTTCATTTGAGTTTTGTTTCAGTATCTGAAACGTGACATCATCATCAAGTGAAATTGAGCTGATGTGGTTGCTTTATTTGTATCTCCACCCTAGTAGAAGTTCCAAGCAGATAAAGTCAATCTTTCTTTTTCATCGATCAACAAAGCGCGAATAGAGCTAGAACATGATAACTTTTCCAAGCGAACCGCTACTGCTTGTGCGTCGCTGCTTTTTTCCTTTTGAAGAAGTAGAATGTTGTTCGGTATTAGGATGATGATCCGATCATACTTTCGTATTGATTGATCCTCACCGTCACCAGGGCGTAGAAGGATAAGAAATCGAATAGTTCTCGTATTTCAAGTACACTGTTGATGACGTTTCTTCTAGAAGTTGACATCTCGTCCGTCTCAAGATAGAGAGAGTGTTCCAGAGATGTTGATCTTACGATGGTTAGTAACGAAGGTACGAAAATATACACAAGTCTGGAAGTCGTAGTCGACGTTACATGGTGTAGTTGTACCAGTTTGTTTTATCTGCATCTGTGGTGTTGGAACTTGTCGGTTTTTGGAACACGAAGAGCTTTATCGTGATCCTGCTAAGCAGATGAAGTGGCAACAAAGCTTCATGCGAGTTGCGACAATGAAGTGCTTATTTCTAGATGCGCGCACGCGTAGGTAGATGGTCTCGTGCTTCCTTTGTGAAAATTCTTGTCCTCCAGCTATGGCTGCTCAACAATGGCAATCCTGATCTCTGTCTGTCGACAAGAATGACTGTCGTGGTTACGGACAACCAGTACACTAGGAATACTGATCAGAAGCGAATACAGAAGAATATACGTCTATTTGTAAGAAAGTGGTTCTCCTGCATCCGCTGTCCTACCTTTAGAAGAGCTTCCTTTATCTATGTGTCGACCTCGACGACCTTGACAGTAACCGCCATGGGTCCTGCTCCAGCAACAACTTTCCGCTTCGGCTTCGGCTGCGTATGAAAGTGCATAAGTCCTCCTTCCCCTCAGTTGCTTTGCATGGCGTGAACAGCTGCTATACAAACACCAACACACGCGGAGCCTGTGCATGACAAGTTCGTGCGCTGCATATAATATGATGTCGTTACAACTACTTGGTTTTGTTGTCATGCACGAGCATAAAAGTAAACACAAGGGAACAACTCGAACGCGCTCGAATATTTTGCATGAGAAATGTTGGCAATGAGGGGGAGTACTAGCTGTGCACTCTCATAACGCGGCGTTCCGTTTCTGAGAGCCCCTTTCATCGCCTCGAGGCCCTTCACAGTTCGCGGCGTGCTGAGACCACTTCGCTCGGATGAATCGGCGGACGCAGCTGCACCATTGTCGTCATCGCGAGCTGCAGGTGGTGCTTCATCTTCTTGTTCAGGTGGAGCTTGTTGCACCGGCAACGCTAAGCCATTGCCACGTCGTGGTGGCGAAGCCTGCTCATGAGGTGGAGCCTTGTTGTACAGCGCATGACTCCTCACTGCTAAGGCGCTCTCTGCTGCTCCGGCAGCAACCACTTGCCTGGGCGAACGGCGAGGAGTAGCCTTCCCCTGCAAAAGTTGACGGGGTCGTCGGCCCCTCTTGCTTTGTGTTCGTTCTTCTTCTGTGGAATCCTGTATCACACCAAAAAGCGTCAAGATCGTTTAGTTGCAAATGTCAGTACTAAATATTTTGCGATTGCGCTCAGGTATCAACGGCGCATGCGAAGTAAAAAAGCCGAACGGTATCATGCATAAGGATAAGTACATACAGGTACTTAGAATACATGCTGTCGAACGACGACAAATACGTCTGTCGTGGTGACGTCGCCTGACTATTTGTTTATTACATCTCTGATTTTCTTGTAGATGATGATGATGATGAACATTTGCGGTAAGCACGTTGAAAGAACGCTTTTTGGCGTTTGATATCGTGATGGCGATCCACCTCTGCGTGACCGTGGTGCTCGGCGTCGACCCTGGGCATAAGCGGGCTCGGGATTTGGGGCACCGGCACCGCCAAGCGCGCTTCCGACTCTTCGGCCCGGTGCGCCATGGCCAGTCTGCTCGGCCGCCCAGTGTGGTGCTTTGTTGCGGGGGCAGTTCTCCTCGAAGGTCGGTCGGGGAGCAGTACTGCACTGGGCATTTGGGCCACCGAGGGAATCGGGCGGGCACCCCGCCGGCCGCCACTCTGGCTCACGGAACGGCTGCGTGCTGCTTTTGGCGGCTGTGGTTGCTGCCCAACTTGTTGAAAATGATCAACAGGAAGCTCCTGGGTAGAAGAAGTAGTTTCCGCGAGGGGGCCGGGGCCGGGGCCCCCTCGGCCGTAGTTGCTCCAGGTATAATCCTTCGGCTTCTGCTCCGCCCCGACGCGGTCCTTGCTCGCGCGACTTCTAGTGGTACTTCTCGTTCCGGCCTCAGCGGTTCCTCGTGGTTGCGTCGGAATTTCTCCAGCTCGGGCGCCGGAAGATGCAGCAGCTCGAAATTGCGCAGGATCATCTTCAAGATCCTCATCAGCACCAGCAGGTGCTGCTCGTGGAGCCCCCGCAGCCGTTGTGCTGAGCACATTGCCGCGTTTGTCGACTTCAACCACGACCGACTTTGTGCCTTTCATGTGTTGAGCGGCAGCCAGGATCGCCTTCATTTGCGCTCCCAACTTTGCCGTGGCTGCACTTTCAAACGCCTCTCCGCTGGTCTCCTGGTCCCGCATAACCTGCTTCAGGACCTCCTCGATATCAGGTCGTGTGTAGCCGCTGTCCTCCTGTCCAGACATCTCCTCCTGCAATAAGGGCAGAGGACTCTGTGAATGTGATGTGAATGCTGCTTTCTGTTGTCCTGAAGCAGTAGAGGAGGACCCAAGAAGTGCGCGCTTCTGCGAAGATGGCATGCTATTGCTAGCCGTGCTGGTGCTACCCGCCGGGGGACGACTGCTTTTGTCCGCAAAAGGTTCTTGTGGTCTCTGTTCAAGAGCATGCCCTGAATTTCTGACGTGGTTTTTCTTTGCCATTCTGTGTTTTGCGAGCAGCCTCGCTACTGCCAACGCAGCACCCGTGCGCACTCCGCTTGCTGCAGCTCCTGCATCTTTTTCTTTATAAGTTTCCACATGCTCAGGGTGTTTCGGCAGCTTGGAAGATAACCCAGCACCACTACGCTTTGTTTCATCTTCACGTGTTGTAGTTTCATCATCTCGCCGTACTCTTCGGTCTTGCCTTTGCCGGGGCGGGGATCTCTTTTCTCCAGGTGATACTTTTCTGCGCGGAGGTTCTTTTTTTCTGCTCCTCGAACCCGAAGATCCACCAACATTTCCCAGCGAAGCACCGGACACTGGCACGCCTCGGCCGTTCAAAACGGCTGAGGCGGAAAGAATCCCGGACTCGTCCTCGTGCATGCCGAACCTACCCGAATTGAGCTGCGTCACCCTGGTCCTGCTGCCATCCTGTGCTGGTGGAGCACACTGCTCATGCTGCTCCTGCAGCTGCGTGGTTCCACTCATCAAGACCACCTGGTCCTTCGCGCCGGCTCTTCTTGTTTCTGCCCCGAGGCCCGGGGCAGAAACGCAAGCCAAACACCCCAAAGAGAAAAGCCATTTGTCTATTTCATTGCCGTAGCATCTTTGCAAACAAGAAGCCGCGTAGTATCACCTACGAGGCGCTTGCTCGCGTTGCCAATTTAAATTTTTTAGCTACTATACCACCACAAGAACAAACTCAGGCTCATCCTGGTCCGACGCCGATATGTGAGCGCTGGAGAATGTAATCATAGGCACAGGAGCATCGTGCATCTCGTGCCCGGGAGGATGGAGGTTCAGTGCCTTGAAGCACTGGAAGAAATGTAGCGAGATTCCGAAGTCCTGCCCTTCTCAAATCCTTTCGCTTTTTTGCCTCTCTTGCATTGATACATATAGATATGCTAGTCGTGCTCATTTATCTAATAGATAATGTTTTTTATGGGTATTGCTATTGCTACCAGTGCTCTGTTGGAGCGGAACGAAGATCGCAGCCATTTTTCTTAGGGCTGATTGTCTCCCTCTCCTCGGAGCGGAGTTTTCTCATTTAGATTTAGCACGTTGGGACTTAGCGTGGTTCCACTCATCAAGACCACCTGGTCCTTCGCGCCGGCTCTTCTTGAAGTACAACGTGATGCGGCCGCTATAACGCCCGGCGCTTTATGTTTTTTTTTTTTTTTGTCAACGTCAAAGCTGCTACCATGTAGTTCATCTTTCTTCTCGGTAATGGAAGGGACGGACGACATTTTCACGACCCCTCCCGCAAACAAGCTATGGATGGTGTGTAGTTGATCTGCTTGAGGCCGCGGGGACGACGCGCTTGCCACCAATTCCCCGTTTTCGTCGTAGTAGCCTCCTTGGTCCCGGTTCCAGTCTTCCCACTCTTGGGTGTTATACTTCTTGCCCAGCTCCTTGTCCTCATCTTCTATGAATGTCGCGCCCGAAGGGCGATATTGGTAACCAAATGCGTGCGCGAAAATCTAACCAGCGCGAGAGCCTAGCCAGCCGCGCGGCCAAAGCGCGGCCCTGCGGGCCGCGCTTTCGCCGCGCGGCTGCCACCACCCTTTCTTTTTAATTAGAACCCCACATCTATCCCGGGCCATCGGAGGCTTCCGGATTCGCATTCAAAGCTTATCGCAGGAGCCTGCGGGCCGCCGCGGGCTCCACCACTTCCCCGCGGCCCTAAAGGGCCGCGGACAACTACTGTCGCCCGCGGCGGCCCGCAGGCTCCTGCGATAAGCATTGAA